CTCCCAGCTCACTCCGAGCAACCAGCACGCCTTAACAAACCTCTCCTCGACCTTCCCTTCCAAGGCGATGGCAGAGACCCTCTCCAGCAGCTTCTCCCTCAGCTCATCGAAAACCGACTGGTGGAACTCCAGCCGGGGGGTGCCGTGCAGGTCCAGGAAGGGCAGCGCCGACTGCAGCGAGGGCAGCAGCACCCCATTCTCTGTCTGCCAACACAAACACCATGCGAAAGGACAAACCCCACAGAGCAGAGCCCTCCTCGGGCCCTCCCGCTCTCCCACCACCCCGCAGCGCCGGCCCCGCCGCTCGGGCACCTTGTCCCACCGCACCTGGAACTGCTCGATGGCCTTCAGCGGCTCCGTGCAGTTGGTGAGCGTCTCCTTCAGGTCCTCGCCGTTGGCCACCCCCAGCTCCTGCAGCCCCGCGTACATGGCGGCTGCCGGCCCCCCCCGGGCCCGCTCCCACAGCGCCGCGGTCCGACCCACCGCGGGTCCCCCAGCGGAGCGCGGTCCGGCGCTGCGCCCCGCCCCGCGGAACCCGCTCCCGCACACAAAGGTTCCGCCACACAAAGGCTCCGCCGCCGCTGCCGCGGGGTACCCGGGCTGCCCGCACCCCCGCCGGCACCGGGGAGCCCCAGGGCACGCTGCTGCGGCAGCAGCGTTAGGGCAGCGCGGTCGGGGTTCCAGCGGGGCGAGGGGAATCCCTCCCTGCGGGGCAGCCGCAGCTTCTGGCTGATCCCTGGCAGACAGCGATGGAAAGGGGAAATGGAACCAAAACCGGCCTCATAAAGGAGAAGTGGCCTTTTCCCGTTCATGGTTTGAGATCTGCAGGCTCGTACTTTCGGGATAGCTGGTACAGAGCGAGGAAACAAATCTTACCGTGTCTTTCACAAGGGCTGCGGCCAGGCGCCAGGGTTGTATTAAGCTGCATCAGTCTGATCCACTGCAGAAACACCCTTGGCATATTCCCACCACATCTAGTGGCAAACTAATAGTGGCAACTAATATCTAGTCAAATCTAATGGATTTAGAGCCTCCCCACACCCCCAAACCATTCTAAGGTTGGGCTGCTGTTGACAGACCCCTGTAAACCTGGATATCCAAGCAGAACAGATGCTCTCCACTATTCCCAGCCATGGGCTGCTGCAATGCCCTTCAGTCCCATGTTTCCCGTCTCTATGTCCCAGCTGTCAAAGCAGCCCCTGCATGGATTAAAGGGCATGGGGGTGGGTTCTATGGGAGCAAAGCAGGACTGGCCAGACCACAGCAGCATCTGGCAGCTCCTCAGTGGCTGCTGGATATTCTTTGGTTCTGATGATATATTATGATATTGTATAAACTATCATGAGCAGCCCATGGGCATGAGCAATTAGCCAACACCTCCACACAACCCATGTACAGCATTCCTTTGAGGCAGGAGGACACCTGGGGCACCATTTCATTTGCAAGACTGCAGCAAGATGAGCTGCTGTGCAAATCCTTCCCACTGCAGCACTTGAAAGCCTGCCTGTCTTCATGGGCAAATGGGAAAGCAGGGCCATGAGGATTGTCAGCACTCTGGAGATTTAATCCTGTTGCCCTTTGCAAAGCAGAGCATTGTCAGCCCAAGTGCAGGCAAAACAAAGAATCCAGCCTGGTTTGTGTTGGAAGGGACCTTAAAGCTCATCCAGCTCCAACCCCTGCCACGGGCAGGGACCGCTTCCACTAGAGCAGCTTGCTCCAAGCCCCTGTGTCCAACCTGGCCTTGAACACTGCCAGGGATGGGGCAGCCACAGCTTCTCTGGGCACCCTGTGCCCGCGTCTCAGCACCCTCATCATCAAAAAAGTCTTCCTTATGTGCAATCTAAACCTGTCTTCTTTTAGTTTAAGAGCATTCCCCCTTGTCCTGTCACATCTGTAGATGCATTCTAGTCACTGACCAGCAAAATCAGAACTGGAGTCTAAAGTCTGCACGAAGAGGAGGGAATTCTGGCACTTTGCTTAAAACAACACTAAGATGGAGAAGTGCATCTCCAAATACCCCTGCAAAGCCAGTAAGGTGTTCTGCAAACAGAGGCCTGGCTGGTGAACTCCTCTGGGGGGGACAAGATGGCCTTGCCAATAAATGGTCCAGCTCACACACACAAAAGCTTTTCTTTAAGGAGTAGCACTTTTATTCCTAGCCCCAGTCCCTGGAACCAGATGGGGACAGGCTGAAAGGAGCCCATCTCCTGGGAACAACACATTTTTCTCCAGGAATTCTGGTTTGGGGGACATGTCTTTGTGGCACCAGAAAGGAGAAAGCAGGCACATGGTTTGTAAAGTCTGGGGGTTGGTTATCCTTCACGGAAAGGCTGTGGAAAGGGTGTACAGACACTTATGCTGACACTGACCCTCTGGAGGCGAAGTTTCAAGCACCCCTGCTGTCTCCTACCCACAGCAAAGGCCAAACCAGCCAGAGTATCCTGTAGCTATAAACACAAATGTGCATGGGTTTTCGTGTCCCAAGTGCCACCTGATATGAGGCAGGAGCAGCCTGCAGGAACTGTGCTCTGCCCCAGCCCAGTGCACATATGCTTGTGGAGAAGCACCCCAGGTTCACCCTGGAGCCCTCAGACCTAAGTAAACCCAGCATAAGGAGTTTTCCCACTTCTAATTTTGACAGCTAGCACTGCCAGGAGCAGAATACCAAACACATGAGTTCTGCCTGCTGCCTGCTCATCACACAGCTGAGTTAACCCCACAGGCCTGTTTACCTCAACCCCATCGCCCGGGGCAGTTTCGAGGTTGCACTGATGCCTTTGCACTGGAACAGGCACGAAGCCATCATTGTATTTACTGTGTGGAGGGATGGAAGGAGAACTGCTTGAGTCATCGCTCCCTGTGGTCCCTGTGGCTTGGGGCTGGGCTGAACCCAGAGCGTGGCCCCAGCTCCGCCTTTCTTCTCTTTTAAAGGTTGTGGAAGTAGCCGCTGTCAGTTCACTGCTCCACTGCTTCCTCTCGTGTCTCTCTGTAGGGAGAAAGCACTTCATGTCTTGGCGTGAACTGCTTCCCCCCTGGCTGGTGATCGTGGCAGGACTGACGGGCATCGTGCTGCTCTGCGTCTCCACTAAAGATGTGCCCTACACCCCTCTCAGGACCAAGGTAAGAGCATCCACCTAAGGGGTGGCCAAACTGGGATCAAGTGGGACAATAAGCAGAAGACCTTCTCCTTGCCTATGGGGCCACTTCTTAAGGAGAACCTGCTGTTTCCTTGTGCAAGCTGGGCATTTGAACTGGTGTGTTTTGTTGCTTTTTACATTCATTGCACTACTGAGTTATTTACTAGCCTGAAACAAACTGAGGAAGGGACTACAATAAGACTGTGAGGACAGATTGGCATACTTTAACATGCTGTAGCTTTTCAAAGTGAAAAAACAAACCAACCCCTTTGGCTGGACTGGGAAATACAAGCTGGATGTGGGCCATGGATCAGCAGAGATGCTCACCACAGGCTGGGGAGCTCATGTCAGAAGCCACCCCAAGAGTCCAGAGGTGTTAGGGGTGGGAAAGAGCTAGATCCCTCTTCAAAGTTGGTAGGAATCTGGGCCTGAACTGCTGCTTCTCTATTAAATATATGTATTATATATATTTTATATGTCTATATCTATCTATCTATATATCTATGTATCTTCCATGCCTTCTCCTCTTCTGTTCTCTCTTGATTTTAACCAAAGAGCCAACCTGTTCTACATGGCAGGGTCAGATCTGCCTGGTGACCAGGGGGTTAATGCCCATCCGCTCTGCCTCTTGATGTACCCGCTGCTGAGGTGGGAGCAGTTGGCACGCTGTGGTTGAATCAAACAGAAGCAGGTTAACCTGTGTGGTTAGAGACACTGCCCCTCCTCCACACTCCTCTAAGGGACAAAACTGGATTTAAAACAAAAAAAAAAAAACCAAACCCTTACTGCTGCGTGCTCTGTCCTTCCCTGGGGCTGAGCTGGGGCAGAAGCGCCATGATCCTTCCTCCTCCCTTGCGCTCCCAGCAGCCTCTCCTTTTGTGAAGGAGGAAGAACCCCAGGTTCCTCTGCCAACACCACCCGTTCCTTCCTCTTCTGCAGCAGCCAACGTGTCCCTATGAGCAATAGGAGCTGTCACTCATGTGGGCAGATGCCAGCAGGCTCAGGCAGGGAGCTCCATCCTCCTTCCGCATTTCTGCTCCAGCTCCAGTCCCAGGCACTGTGTCTGGTGCAGCTTGGACTCCCAAGGGAAGAGGCAGCCAGCTTGGCTCTGAGGCTGCAGCCATGCTCTGTCTTGTGCTAAAACTCTGCTGATGGTGTCAACATCAAACCTCTCGGGAGGTTTCTCCTCCCACTCAGTCACAGCTACAACTATTTCTGTGCAAGATAACAGCTTAGACCATGTGTGTCGTCATGTGTGTCCCCCCACCCAGATCTCATGAGTTTCTTCTCCATCTGTGTAAATACCCATTTGTGGTCATGTAATAGTGGGAGGAGAGGAGGAGACCCTAGGATAGCACTAGGGCTATTTTGAGTGTGAGGACATCCAGAACAGCCACAGAGCTGCACTGCAGGGTACACCAGTGGCCTCTCACTACCCAATCCTCATGTATGAGCTGCAGCTCAGCAAAGCTTGGTCAGCAGCAAACAGCCCAGACACTGGGCTGCAAAGAGACTAAGCAAGCCCTTGGCCTCCCTGCTAGGTAACAGGATGACTGTCAGTGGACAAGGTGTTGAGAAATCCCATGCTCGCTGCTCCTCTTTCCACCAAGATGCTATCTTGGTCTCAGTGGGGCTGCTGCACTGGACAGTGTATGTGCTGGATGGTCCCAGTGTGCTGCAGCTCCTGCCCATGTCACACCATCTCCACAGTGGGGCATCAAGGGGATGTGGGATTCAGGTTCCTCAGAAGTAGGAACAAGCCACAGCCCTCAAATTCCTGCACAAAAGCTGTAGCAAACCAATCCAGCAGCAGCCTGAGTCCCAGAATCAGTCAAAAGCCTGGATACTGCCATCTCCCACTGGTTTAAGACCTGTTTTTCCTGAGCTCCAGGTGGCTAAGCTCAGCGGAAGCCCTCTGCCTGGTTTCAAGAACACAGCACACCACTGTAGTTCTGAAGGATTTCTGGGTGTCTCCACTCCTGCTGCTCCTCATGTATATTCAGAAATGCAGATGGTTCCCTGCAAATCCACATCATCTTCTGGCTTCACCCTTTCTTTGCATGTAAAAAGCTAACCCAGACACTGCAGTGCAGGCCCATGGGTTACCTACACAATGCTACAGTAACAAAGCAGCACACATTCAGTGGTGTTGATCTGGAATGTTTTTGGGGTTTTCCAGTATGGCATTGTTCTGGATGCTGGCCCATCCTGCACCAACCTGTTCATCTACCAGTGGACAACCACCAAGGCAAATAAGACCGGGGTGATCAGAGAATGTAGTTCCTGTCCTGTGCAAGGTAAGGTGTCCGATTCATGCTGGCTGGGCTGTGGGACTGGCTTGGGATGGATAGAAACAGAGATCTGTGCATGGACCATTACTGCAATGTCCTTGGCTCCTCTATCATCAAGCTGTATGCTGAAACAGTGGCGATAGTGAAGCAAAAGCTGCTTATTTCCAGCATGAGTCTTCTCAACATGGGCAGATTTAGCCATACACAGCTGGACATCAACAGCAGGTGACAGTTTCTTTTGCCTGCTGCAGGCACAGAAGCTCAGAGAGGGGACAGGGCTCATCCCCATGTCCATGTGGATCAGTGGCACAGCCAAGGTTGCTGAGCTTCTCACCTAGTGAACAGCAACAGAGACAAACCTGGCTGCAGGGTGATGTTTTGCTTCCTCCTGACTGTACTCTGGGCTCTAGTGTGTGTAGCTGGTGTAGCTCTGGAGAAACAGAAGTACAAAGACTCCAGCCCCCTATGTAGGGTTTGATAGCACAAGCATGAGTGCAGTGTGGGTTTAGGTGTCACATTTTGGAGAATATTGGGGTCTTCCTCACGAGTTTGAACCAGTTTAGCCCTGCCAATGCCAGCTGATAAGGTTTCATGCAGTAATGCTTGGGGTTTTCCTTCCCTATCTCTGAATCTTGCTCTGATGTTGAAGCCTGATTATAGCAGGATGCTGGGAAACCCTGAACTCCCAGTAGCAGTATGCTGTGGGAGGGCAGCTGCACAGCAAGCAGGGAAGAGGGTTTGTGCCCTTGCAGGCTGTAGGCAACACAAACCATGTAGAGAAGATGCAGTAAGGGCTCCCTGAAACCTTGTACATGTCCCTTGCCTGCTGCCACCTTCACCAGATGGCTTAAAACCAACAACTACAGCTCAGAGCAGCAGTTTGCAGCAGCAGCAATAAGAGGTGCAGGCAGCTCTCTCACCCACATGTGAGAATTCATCCTTTGCCTACACCCTCTACAGCCTTGGAGTAGCTGCAGACAAGCTGCAGCTCAGCCCTACACAGGGCCCAGGAAAGCAAAGCAGGGAGTCACACAGCCAGGAAGATGATGGGCAGAGGATGGGGAAGTGAAGCTCTTTCTGGGTAGTAGTTCAAAGCCAGCATGTAAGACTCCATTGAATCTTGCTGGAAAGACGAGGCAGGGCTTGCACACAGCTTCTGTTTGCGCAGCAACAGCTTCCTCTAGAGCAGAGGTGTCTTGTGGTGGCTCAGAAGCCACCTTTGTCGGCACAAGAGGAAGTGGCTGGAGGAGAGAGGTGACACATCAGCCTCAGCTCTGTCTGCATGGCAGCATGTCCTTTTCCTTATCTTTTACAGTGGCTAAAGCCACATTTTTTCCTCTTGTGGCCTCAGCTGCTGAACTGCCCTTTGATTGATAAATGGTCACTTGTAGGACATCTCAGCAGCAGAGCTAGGTTCCTCTCAGTGTGATTTGGGATTTACATGCACGTGTTTCCCTCCCAGTACCATATTTCAGCAGGATGGGTACATGGAGGAACTCCATTCCACCTGTGGCAGGTCCTGACCTTAGCCATGCCCTAGGATAGCAACCTCCTGGGTAACAGCTCTCACACTTCTTCCATGCCTTTCCTTAGAACATGCCAATTTTATCCCTGGTCCTCAGGTCTGGGAGTCTCCAATTACGCAGATTCTCCTCAGAAAGTCATGGAGAGCCTGCAGCCCTGTTTGACCTGGGCCCAGCAAGAGATCCCAGCAGAGCAGCACAGCCAAACCCCACTCTACCTGGGAGCAACCACCAGCACGAGGCCATTGAAGTGAGTGAACATTGCAAACCCATCCCCAGCCATCAGCACACGCCATGGGATCAGTCTGTGGCTGCATGCCAGCCTGCCTGCTCTGCAGTGCTCCATCCCTGGCCTGGTAGCCAGGTAAACCTTCCCCAGGTCCTGATGTACCCCAGGAGACTGCGGCTGTGTGTCCACAGTGTCCCCCCAAGCAGCCATGAGGATGACAGTCTTGCTATTGCTACCAGTCTGTGTTGTGTCCTTCACAGTTGTGCTTGGGAAAACACCCATCAGTGTGGAAGCTGAAGTTTATGTGACAGCCCACCTGGGCTTGCAGGGGTGCTTCTTGTCAGCAGGCTGGGAATGGTGGTGGGGAGATCCACCTCATCATACACACTTTTGTGGATCCTGTTCTCAGTTACCTCATTACTGGGACTTTTATCAGCTTTAGACACTGGGGAAAAGTAAAGCCTGGAGGGGACCTGGTCAGGGGAGCAAGGCCACAGGACTCTCTCAGTGGCACAGGGTACAAAGCTCTCGAATGGTGGCACAAGTGCTCAAACCACCCCTCTGCTGTTCTCACCCTTAGTGCCATGTGAAGAGAGAGGGAAGTAGCAGCAGGAGTGGGATTGTCATTTTGTCTCCATGCTGCTACCCAAAGCAGGAGCACAGCAAAAGCCCTGCAGCTATGCCTCCAATGCAGGTTGCTCCTGCAGGGTCCTGCAGCAACAAATGTGCCTTTTTCTTTTCTGTTTAGCCTCACCCATCCCATCCTCTCTGATGGTCTCCTTGCAGCCCTGAAGTCATCTCCTTTCAAGTTTCAGGGGGCACAAATCCTGTCCAGTCCAGAAAAGGAAGCATTCAATTGGGTTGCTGTTAACTATGTCCTGGAGAACTTCTTCAAGGTAAAGGACAATCCTACCTGGGGAGTAGAGAACTGAACAACTCCCATTAGCAAAGAGCCATACAGACATGTATGTACGTTGAAATCCTGTAGCTTAAACAATGCTTAAGCACAACTTGCACTGCCTTTCAGAGGAGGAAGGTTATATCCAGCACCAGCTGGTTGGGGGACAGAGTATGAGATGGTTATAACTAGGATGAAAGACTAAAGCTCTAATATAGCTTGTCATGGTCATACTCACACAGTTGCCCTAACAGACGTGAGACTTCCTGGACAACACATCCCATGCTTGCATAACCTGGCCCTGGGGTGTCAGTAACAACTCCACTGCTCCAAGTCCCTGCAGCTCTAGCTCAGCACCACTGTCAAACAGGCATTGCTGCTGTTTGTGGCATTGCCCCTGGAGACCAGCAGTCCCACAGGATATCCTGTGGATGGTGGACAGAGAAGCAGTCTTGCTGCCAAAGCAAAAGCCTCTTATGGAGATGCCAGTGAGAGTAAATCTGAGTGTCCCCAGCACAGGGGACTGGTCAGTATTCAGAAGGCACTTTGCTAAACAGAAAGAATACACAGGAGTTTCCTTGCTGTCCCCTCAAGCCAAAGCCTTTGAGTTCTTCTTATGAACTCAAAGGGCAGGAGAAAGGCAGGTTAGGCCAAGCGATTCCACATCAGCAAAGTGAAAGGCAGTTCTGATTACCAGCAGCAAGCATGCACTGGTTAGGGAATTGCTAGCAAATTCCAGCACAGCCTCCCCCAGCCAGGGCAGAGCATTTCCACCCATGTAAACCTGCCTGCCTGCACTGCTAACTTCAGCATCCCCAAAATCATTTCTGCAAGACTGCAGGAGATGAAACATCCGGGCTCATCTGACAGCAGGGTCACTTTAGTACCAAGGCAGCACTTGAAGCCCATACCTTCCCACCTAGAAACCTCCTTTCCACCACCCTCTCTTCTTTCCCCTGCTCCTACCTGCCAAGACCACTGCTTGCTGAGCCCCGTTTGCTCTCACTGGCTGTGGGGAGCTCTCAGTGCAGATGGCAGTGCTTGTTCAATGGCTCCTCTGTTCCCTGCCAAGCCACCACTTCAGCATCCTTATATCCTGTGGGCAAAACAAGAAGTTGGGCTGTACTGCACCAAAGAGCTTTCTCTCTCTGTGCACTAATGCTTGCACTGTGACTGTGACCAGATGCAGATGTTTTAAGAACTGACCTCTCTGGTTCCTTTTGGGTCAGTACGACTGGCGAGGACAGTTGGTCCCCTCCGGGAAGGGGATGGCAGGAGTCCTGTTGGTGGGAGGAACCTCAGCGCTGCTCACTGCCAAGGTGGAAGAGGAGAACCAGGCACCTACAGAGGAGGTGAAGCTGCAGCTGTATGGTCAGACACACAGAGTGTACACTCATCACTGCCCCTGCCACGGCACAGCCCAGCTCCGCAGCAGGCTACTCGCTCTGCTCATTCAAGTGAGTATCAACAGAGGGTGTTTGCAGGGTTCCTGACTACAACAGTACTATATAAAAGTTGCACAAGGTGTAGCTTCTAACAGGCAAAATGTCAATCACTGTCTTTAACACAGGGAATTTGCATATACTTTAAAAAAGCCAAATGCATGGGTAGAACATACTCCCTATGCCTGAATCAATGCCCTCCAAGCAGACACACAGGCACCCATTCAGGGGTTTCCTACTTGCAGGCTCTATTTGGCTTCTTTCTTAATACACATGAGCATAAAACTGCTCTCCAGAGGTGCTAAGATCACCTTCAGGGTGAAGAACAGCAGCACCCAGGAACCAACGGGGACCTTCCATTTGGGGTATTTCCTTTGCTGACTTAAACCCTGAAGCATCTTTAAAAGAGCACTATTTCATCTGGAAAACATACAGGTCCTTTGGTTCTTCCAAACTTTATTATACTTGGCAGGAGGCAGGATCTGATGCAAAGTCAGGAATCACTTTAGTCTCCACCAAACCTGTTTTTTTTTTTGTCAGAAATAAACTACTTGCTGCCCATCCACTTGCCCCCCTCTAAACCACACCTCTTATATGAGACCTGAATGTCCTACATAGAGACCCACTTCACCGCAGTTATATTGAGAATTCCTAGAGATCCCAGACCGGTTTGTGTTGGAAGGGACCTTAAAGCTCATCCAGCTCGAACCCCTGCCATAGGCAGGGACATCTTCCACTAGAGCAGCTTGCTCCAAGCCCCTGTGTCCAACCTGGCCTTGAACACTGCCAGGGATGGGGCAGCCACAGCTTCTCTGAGCACCCTGTGCCAGCGCCTCAGCACCCTCCCAGGGAAGAGCTTCTGCCTAAGAGCTCATCTCAGTCTCCCCTCTGGCAGGTTAAAGCCATTCCCCTTATCTCCTGATAAGAAACACTGGTTCTTGAGGTGTTGAGCCATCTGGATGGCGGACCTGAACAGCATCTTTCTTGCAACTAGAAAGAGTACAGGATCCATTGAAACTGTATTTCTGGTTTAAGGGAGAGCAGGTAGCACTGGGACTCCTCAGCCTCCCATAGCAGGCCCAGTCATTGCAGCTTGCCTGGACCCTGCGGGAGCTGGGAGGCTGCTGCATTGGTCTGGGACTTCCAGTTGAGTGCCTGAGACAAGGTTTGCAAACATTTGCAGCCTGTTTGCTCATTACAATACCCTGGTGGCAGAGGAAAACCATTCTTCACTCTGTCCCATTTTGTCTTCCTTCGTGAAGCCCTGGGATGCCAGCCCGTTCCCTTGCTGCCTCTGTCCTTGTTTTATTCTGCCTCTAGGATCAGAGAGGGGCTAAAACTGTGTCTAATCCTTGCTGGCCCATCTCCTACTCCCGGGAAGTGCAGTGGCAATCAGTGCATGCTGGGCCTTGTGCTGTCAGTGAGGACACATCAGACATCTCTGGCCCTGAGGTCTTCAATATCACCGGCTCCAGCAATCCCACCGCCTGCATGAGGCTCGTGCAGAGCCTGCTCAACTCTTCCTCTTCCTGCAACTTCTTCAAGCATTCCCTCAGCGGAGTCTTCAAGCCTCTCCGGACCAGGTTTCTGGTGAGTTCTCATCTACACTGGGGTAGGCAACTGGTGTGGAGAATCCATGCCATGGGACCAGTTTGATCATTAAGAAGTACAGTGGGACCTGCCACACTGTGCCCTCTGCTTTGGGTAATGCTCTACATGTGCTCTCCTGCCCTCTCCTCCTCATTGACACACAGCTGGTCAAATATGGACCACAGGCTTCCCACCAGTGACTGTGACAGGGCTTTGCTCATCCATGTCTCAGCAGTGCTTGCTGCAAGACAAATGCTGGGGCTCCACAGAGCCAGCAGCAACAGAAGAGCCAAGAGTCTCCTGCTGAGCAGGTCTGCTCACATGAAGTCTGTGGTGAAGCTGAAGATCTTCTGCCACTTCCTCAGCAAACATTTGGGCATGTTCCACCACAAGCATCCTTGTATCTGAGACCCTGGATCTAGCATCCAAAGTCATTGGGTTGTTAAGTCAGGACCAGCTCAAGATCCCAGGACAAACTGCGTGCATTTCAAGGGAGGAATTACAAACATTTCCTCAGCTTCCTGCTCCTGAGAGCCTCCCATGGACACAGTGCCAAGGAGCAGAAGGACTAGTCTACTTATCCAGGCAGGGCACAAAAGCTAGAAACAGTCCTGTGTCTATCTCCAGAGAGTAACAGGTCTGCTTGTCCTTGCACACATCAGAAACACCATAACCACCAATACAGGCACATGGAGAGGGCACCCTGGCCACACACCCCACAGCTACTGCCACTTTCTTTCCTACAGGCACTGTATGTGATGTGAGGATGCAAAATGCAGTGTGACCTGATGGTTATTTCTGTTGCAGGTGATTTCTGAGGCCATGGACTTCATGAGAGAAACTGTGCCCTCTCCTGACTTGGGTCAGGCAGTCAACAGGCTTTGTGGGATGTCCATCAATGAGGTAACTGGAATAACTCAGTGTGCAAGGAGAGTGCAAAGCAAGGAACAGGCTGTTGTAAAACCCCATAGGGCTCAGACTGACAGAGCTTAATTGACTGGCTCCCTCAAGGAAAAACCTGAATTTTCCTGTTTGCTGGTTTATATTCACTTTGAGGAAACAGGCTCCCCTTATTTTCTTTCAAATCCCAGCTGCTGGTAACACCTGGACTGAGTTAAATGAAAAGCCACAAGTAGCTTTTGCTGCATATTAAGGAGTAAACAGGAAGGCTGTCTACTCACTCCAGCACATCACCCTTCTCTCCTTAAGCACAAGGAACATTCACTCAAATGCCAGCAGCTTTCCTGTTTCACCTAGGTCCATGCAGGCCAAGCCAAGGAAAAGTTGCAAGTTCTCTCCCTCAGTTTATGGCTTAGAGGTCACACTCATTTGTGCCTACACTGACCAGCATCCACAGTAACATTCAAACTGGACAGTTTGCTAATGGGGTAGCAAAGCTGTTTCTTAAAACTTTCTCTTCTGGACAGAAGAAACAGATCTTGTTCATGTTCCTGTTGAGAGAAAGGCTGCAGCATTAGCTCAACCTAATTAGAGAGCAGATGATCATACCAAGCAGTGCACCTGCAAGGCAACTGCAGGAGACCTGCCTGCCAGCCCTGCTGCTCTTGAACTGCCTGGGCTTTAATAAGATGGGAACAAAGGCACACAGAGATGACACCAGTTCCCAGACCGCATTCCAGAAGGTGCAGGAAACATGGTTTCAGTCTGCACAGGACACAAAGCCTTCCTGCAGTCCCACAGGTCACCCCAGAGCAGGAAAGGAGAGGTTATAGCAGGGCTGAAATTCTGCTACTGAATATTTGCTTTATTTTTTTCCTCATCTTCTTTTGGAAATGACACCAGCTGCTGAAGGAGTCCCAGACAAGCCTGGATACACTTGCAGATTACTGCCTTGTGTCTGCCTTCATCTTTCACCTCAGTACAAAGGGATACACCTTTGACTTCAATGGGTCTGTCTGGACTTCATTCCAGAAGAAGGTCAGTTACCTACAGTGTGTACTTCCAATTACAAGGGAGGGGTGTTTTCAGCAAAGCCAACCTGTTCCCATTCCTGCAAGCCCAAACCAGCCAGGTTTCTCCAGCAAGATGCTTTTGCAAAATAAATTCATAACTGTGATAAGCAAGAAAGACAGTGACAGAAATCTAGAGATTGCACTGTCCTCTCTGAAAAATAGATGGGTCAAAACCCTACCTGAAGCAGTGTTATCCTTTAGAGCTTGTATCCAACAGGCAGACATTGCTTGACTGACACTTTATGCTAAGGACAAGCTGCTGATATTTTCTGAGCCAAAAGATGTTGCCCTACCTCTTTATACCAGTGAGGCTTTATAACTGGCTTACAAGGTATGAAATTGCTTCAGGATGTGGAGCCCCTAAGGAAAGGAGGATTGGATTCAGGTTCTCCCCTTCACAAATGAAAAGAAAGCCTATTCCCAGACCCTGTCACAACTCACCAGCAAAGCACAGTCCCAGTGAGCAGGGCTGCAGCAGTGACAGCAGTTCAGTCAGCCATCACGCTAAGGCAAGGTAAGGAGGTAGGACCAGGGCACATCCAGGGAGCCCAGTCTAGGAAGCCTGTAACATAGGTCTGAGGTGGCAACAGGGCCAGAGACAGAACTAAAGACTTAAGATCCACCTGGGAAAACCAGATAGCAAGAAGCAAAGGAACAGCACACACCTACAGCCTAGCTCAGGGAAGAAGGGGCTGCCCAGGCCAGAGCTTAAATGGAGCTCCCAGGCCCACGGGCAGAGGCAGGGGGGCGGAAGTGTCAGGTGAGGCTGGCTGGGGTAATGAAGGCCTGTTAGTTCACTCAGGGCACCGGGAGTGCGATTGCCTCTCATTTCAAACCTAATCCTTGGATCAATCTCAAATAAAGTATATGAGGCCTTAGGCCTGTGCACAGAAATACAGTTGAGGTCCAGAGTGTCTCCTCTTCTCACCTCTCCTCCTTTTTCTTTCAATAGATGGGTGATAGATCCTCTGGCTGGAGTCTGGGATACCTGCTGAGTCTGACCAACACTATCCCCCAGGACAGCCCGAGCTTTCTCAAGGGGATTGAGCCGGGGGTCTGGTCTTTGCTCCTCATCCTCTTTGTCGTGCTGCTCACTGGCTCTTTCATGCGCATCTCATACCGAGTGATGGTGAAGGAGAACAGCTTCAGTAACAGGAACAGCAGTGTCTTTGATGACATCTGACCGTTACTCTGGGACTCAATAATTCTGCCAGAGGGCAGTTCATAGGGCACATACAGAAACCACACCACTGTAAGTCACTGGAGGATACAAGTGATTTTCCGGCAGAACTCCCAGAGCCTCAGTGGCTTACTTCAACTTGCTAGCACTTGCACTGCCATACTTTGAGACAATGGATCCTGCTCTACAGGAAACTTGTGATTCCTGGTGGATGGCAAGCTGTTCGTTATCCAAATGAGGCAGCCTGCACTGATCTTGCTTGGGCTGCAACTGGGATTACTCATGTCAATGTAATGGAATGATGCCTCTGGGCAGTCAGGCCCTGAACTAATACAGACTTAATACTGAATAACACTGTCAAATCAGGAGAGGACGTGTCTGAAGAAAGTGCTGTGTCCTCTTCTGTGGCAAGAGAGACACCACCTGCAGTACTGCCACCAGCAAAGACTGGAACAGCATTAAATACAGTCAGAACGCAACAGGCAACTTGCTCCCACATTCTAGAGAAAAAGCAGGGGTTTTCTGCCTGCCTCTACTGATTGTCTTTGCTCTATCTCAGTGATGGTATCTATGTGCCCCTTCAAGAACTCTCCAAAAGCAAAGCTTTTTACACTTGGCCTCTACAAAATGCACAGAGCATCAAAGGAAAAACAAAGGGCAGCTGAGTTCCAGTCTCTTGGCTGAGTCATGGCAACTCAAGGTTAACACTGTCTATTTAAAATCTTTAACCAGGACTTGGAATTAGATGATCTTTAAAGTCCCTTCCAACCCAAACCATTCTATGACTTGAATTAACACATTTAATTTCACATCTGCTAAAAGAAGGTGCAGGGGAGGCTGAGGATCACCAGTCTGGTCATTTGCACTGAACTGCTTGACTCTGAAAGGGCAGTAGCTCATCTAACACTGTCCCTCAGACAGGAGCAGACCCAAGAAGACCTTTCCTAATTGACTTTCATATTAGTCTGTGACTAGATATACTTTATAATCCAACAGTCCAGTTTCCTCTGGGCATTGGCAGTCATTCCAAGATGCCCTGCTTGTCTAAGAGCTGAGGCACTGTATAAACTCTGTGTTATTGTGAAGAAAGGGATCAATTCAGACAAACACTGTCCTTTGACTAAAGCACTCAGAGTTCACCTCTGCTTGAAAGCAACAAACAGGCTGCTAAAAGCCCAAAGGACAAGTGTCTCCAGCTCATTTCAGAACACTTGAAAGAGAAATTTAAATGCTCACAGATATAATGATGTGCCTGGCAGGATTTTTAAAGCTACCATGGAACCCAAATCCTTTCAAATCTGATTATTAATTCCTTGTGCTCCCAACTCATATACATGGACACCCCCATAATATTGGGGCATTCATAAATTTTCAGGCCATTAATGAAGGTTTGGAACCTGTCAGTCAAGTTCAGAGGGGTGTGGAGATTTAAATGAACTTCATATTCATTTCTTGGAGTTGCACATTAGATCTTTTTAGTTACATCATGCTATTAAAGATGTTTTAATAGACTGTCTGTGTTATTCTTGGCAAGAGATCACAGGGGGGTGTTATTGTGCATACAGCACGTCCCAGTGAGGAGGATGGGGGGTGCTGGGTTTGCCTCTGTTTACTCCAGAGCTGTTTTACTGTGTACTTTCGGGGTACACAATGAGATACCCTGAAGGCACTTTCTCCCCAGTGGAAGGCAGACAGAAAATGACTTCAGATAACCTGGCTGCTGGTATTCAGTTGATGAAAGACATGTCTACATCTTTGATGTGTTCTTTGCTCCAACCATCTGAAGAAGGTAGGAGGGATTCAGGCAAGCCTGCATAGGAAAACAAAAGAGGTTATCAGGGAATCAGTGATACCAGGAAAATTCCTGAGACTTCATTTGTCCCGTATCTGGAAATGCAATTCTTAACAGAGCTCTGGCTCTGTGACCTGTCAGCACACAGGAGAACTGTGGGATTCCCTGTGGAGATGTGCAACCTGCCCAAAGGAATCCTACCACTGTCAGGAATGGAAATAAGCCAGTGAGATGCCAGGAACCCCAGGACTGGGTGTTCTGGCCTGCTCAGTCATTACAACTTCTTGACTTTGGATACTAGATCACAGGCTCCAAGAGAAAAGGGCACTGGCTGCCAACTTCCCCAAGCCCTTGTTTAGAAGCTTTGGGTCTTCCACGTAGATAATAAGTGAGCAATTAGACAAGAAGCTCAGCATGTCCTCCAACACTTTAGTTTTGCCTGTACTGAGCCCTGTCCTGAGCTCTACTGAGTGATGGCACATACAGATTCCTAACTGGACCCATTAAATCCATGATACTTGAGGCACCATTTGACACTGAGTGCACTGCAGTGCAAAGACAACCCACAACCACTTGATTTCAAGCAGATCTTAAAGTCTTGACCTAAAAGCTGCTGTTCTCACCAAAGGCACAGTGAGATGCTTCAATGGCTGAAGTTCTTTCCTCGGTTGTTCACACACTGCAGGTGGCAGCTCCGCTCTCTCCTTTCCCACCTCTCCTTCCAGATACCAACACTACTGCCTCCTCCAGCAGGCAGGTCGTGGGGACAGGCAGGGGCAGGAGTTCTCATGTAATGATTGTGCTGCCCACCTCGAGCTGCAGCCCCCAGCATAAGGGCTCCCAGTGCACTGGGCTTGGGCTGGGCAGTCTTGATGGTGCATATCATTCTCTTCCTATCTGGCAGAAGAAAACCCACTTACAGATGTATTTAGCAGACTATGAGCTAGATTGGTATTTTTAAATCCCTGAAGTGTGTTTTTAGTCATAAAAAGGCAAAATATAACCCAAAATTGGGAACCCTTGAGAAGAATGGAAACTAAGAAAAGATATTCCTTTCTCCCAGCTCTCTATGGAAGCAGATTCTTCATGTTAGCACTATGTAGCTTTGCAGAATTAACCCCCAGATTACCTGGACAGAGAAGACCTACTTAAAATGAGATTCTAGATTAACTCACTGACTTTGAAATGAAGATGCTTGAGCCCTTTGGTAACAATGCAATTGTGGAAATGCTTATTAATGAGGATTTTCTATCTGTCCATAAATTCTTTATGTTTATGCATAGCTGCCTCGCTACCCCCTCAGGCTGAACCATTGGAGAGCTCTTCTGGCAAATAATGTTTGCTCATGTGTAATTGCAGTTCTCCTGCTGTTGACAAGTACCAATAAGAAGGAATCAAAAGCATTAGATATAAAAAATGACACCAGAAAAGCCCTTTGACTATTTTAGCTCCAGAAACACACTAGTTTATGTGACATGCTGCTGGCTACAGCAGCCTAAATTTCATTTAGGCATGTTTGGAGTATATTAGGTCCTGTCTTTCTTCCAGCTTGTACCATTTCCAAAGCATCATGGATTCCCAAAAGTACATCCCCTGGGTTGTTTCAATGAATTCTCATGAAAGCTGAGAGAAATAATGGTTTATTGCCTGCAGTCCTGTTCTGCAGTACAGAATTCACCACTTTGCTTTTTGAGTATAGGTATTTCACAGGATGCTTACAGATGGATTAGTTCACCAGGATTTCACAGGGCTGGAATCCTTACCCAGTGCTGTCACAGACGTCCTGGCTTATCTTGGTGAGTGATGAGAAGGTCATTCACGCTTCAAGGACTCTTCCAAAACTTGCCACGTGGCTGAGCTCCAGCTTTCCATTAGTAACGCAGTGACTGTAACTCTTCCTCTCCCTGAGATGTGGAGATATCCAGTTCAGTAGTTAAGCGAAGGCCTCTGGAATAGCAAGGGTAGAAATGATGTATAGCACCAGGAACTGCACTCAGTTTAGTTAGAACAATAATGAAATAACTTAAAATCCACAACCACTGGTGGAGCAAATCCAGAATAGGAAAGGAATGGAATCATAGAATCACTTAGATTGGAAAAGACTTCAGAAAAGATCATCAGATCTAACCATAGAACACCTTTTGGAATGGCTGGATTAGAGACTGATCAGAACATTTCATTTTGTTACTATACCATAACTATGATCATGTATCTGGGTATCTTCCAGAGAAGTAGGAAGCCATATGATGTTTATATGCTACCTCATGGACTGTCACTCCTACTTCAAGAGCTAATTCAGAACACACCAAAGCAGATGGAAATGCTATCAGAACAAGCCCAGATGAATACTGGGGTCAGTAAAACCCCAATTTTGCCACATATCTCCTAATGTAAAAGTCCTTTCATAAGGGTGGTGAGGCGCTGACAAGGGCCTGTAGGGACAGGACAAGGGGGAATGGCTTTAAGCTGCCAGAGGGGAGACTGAGATGAGCTCTTAGGCAGAAGTTCTTCCCTGTGAGGGTGCTGAGGCGCTGGCACAGGGTGCCCAGAGAAGCTGTGGCTGCCCCATCCCCTGGCAGTGTTCGAGGTCAGATTGGACACAGGGGCTTGGAGCAAGCTGCTCTAGTGGAAGGTGTCCCTGCCTGTGGCAGGGGTTGATACTGGATGAGTTTTAAAGTCCCTTCCAACCCAAACCAGGCTGGGATTCTGTGATAATCCATCAAAGCCAGGCAAGTTGAAGTTTTGCACAGTGGAAACCCGGCATAAGAAGTGTCTTTGACCTGGTTTTCACCATGCTCTCGATACGAGAGAGTCAGAGCCTCGCTGCAGTAGATGCTTTTAGATCCCTGATCAAGTGAGATCAACACAGAACGTTGAGCTGTTGCTCCTCTGAGCGTGTAATGACAGGGACTAGTCACAAGAGGGAGAACGGCAGAATAGCGCCTTAAGCTTCAGGAAATCCCCAACGCAGCGAGTAGCTGGTCCCACCACAAATGAAAATGAGCAAGCAGGCGTGTCTGGAGACTTGTCAAGGAGACTTCTGATGCGGACACAGATGAAAGACACATTGTAGCATGGAAGCTGTCTACGTGTAGGATGTGAGAGCAGCACTGATCAGTGATTTAAGAAGCCACAGCATTAGTGGAAGGCAGCCTCTGTGCAGGGAGGTAGGCACTAGCATGGAGTGTGGATGAAAACATTTCTGGAAGCAAGAGGGAGAAAGAATAATCCCCAATAGAGAGAGGACTGCGTTGGGAATGAAGAAGAGGGGGGTTGAGATAGAAAGGAATGATAAAATCTTGTGTGAAGGAAAGCTTATTTTTGCTCACAGCAAGGGGGTGTCACCATATGTGCACCTCACGATGGAATTAGTCACCACTTCTTGGTGGAAATTCTCCAGAGGAATAGATCTCCTGAGTGAAAGAAGGTGCTGCCTCTAGGGCTCATCACCGGCCACAGCCACAGAGCTGTGGGACTGAGTGAAGGAAACTCTATGCGAACAGTGTTCAAAGTTCACTGGATTTAATCATAAAGGAGACGTAAACTGCTGATTAATGCTGACCCTTATGTCAAGTACAAGCTGGTTTAGTATTACCTCCTGTTCCATGGTAATCATTGACAGTGGTTACGACTCTCTTGAGTGCAAGCTTTGAAGTGACGGGCTCATAGCCACCTTCTGACCTGAGGAGTTCAGTAGAAACCATCAAACCAAATGGAATGAGTTCTTCTTCCACACAGGGTGTGGTTAAACCATGGGCCTCATCGTGACAGGAGGTTGTTTATGCCAACAGTTTACATGGCTGTAATAGGTGATTAGATAAATTCATAATAATCCTTTGGGGGTATTAAACAAAAGTTACTTGCTTGTGGCTAAAGAATTGCCTGAACAACCTGCCACATCCATACGTGTTTGCCCTGTTCTTTGGCAACTGCTGCTAATCACTGGAGACAAGACTGTCCCAGAGGGACTTGTGGCTCATTCCCCTTCAGCTGCTCCTACTTTTCTCAAGCAGGAATCCACCCACTGCACCTCTCACCCATCACTCTCTGGAAGCAGTCCCTCACCTTCAACAACCTCGCTCTTTTGAGAGCAATAGTTTCTAGAAATGAAGTATTGTTTATCCTTAGAAGTAACAATCAGAAAGACTGGAATGACAAAAGGTCTGCACTTACCCAGGTCATAAGTGTTGTCATAAACCTGGGACGACTCCAACACCATAAGCTCTTCCATTCTGGAGGCAGGCTTCTACTCACATACACTCTGCAGTGTCCCTCTCAAACTCAGAGCTTCAGATTTTACCTGTATAAACAGAATTAGTTCTGTGACTTCTGTTTGGGCTCCTGCCAGCCCCAGGTACTAGGCTGAGCTTAGACCAGGATACTTATTCAGAGGCACAGACTGCTATCATGCTGGGTAAGCATCAAGAGAAGGATCACAGCCATTGTCTGCTTGCCTGCTGAGAGGAGGGATCCTCTCTGTATGCTCCATGCAATGGTTCAGTAAAAGGAGAATGCAATACTCAAAAGTATCTCCCCACTATGCTCAAAACAACTGTATTTGCAGTAAAATCTGTTTCCATGCTGACAGCAGTAAAGAGTTTAAAAAATCAACAAAACAATAAGTTAAAAAAAAACCTAATATATAGTTCAACAAAACGGAAATGCAATTTCCATCTTAGTTTTACCTCCACTACCATGCCTTTTGCTGGATTATACCCAGGAACTTTGGCCATGTAATACTCATCCCTAGCATTTTCTAGTATCCCAGCCATTACCTGATACAGTGAACTTCCAGCTGGGAAATTCAGATGCACCTGAATGAGGTAAAACCTTCTTGCACTTGCAGCAGGGTTTGAGGAGAGCTCTCAAAGGATCAAATACCAGCTAAAAGCAATGAAAACACGATGTGGGAGCCACATACTTTCCCATATGGGTAGGATTCTTCTCTCCTCTGCTACCCCAACTGCTTTCCAACCATAGCTGGCAATGTGCAGCAGTGCCTCTAAAACCAAAGAGAACCAGGAATGCACTTCAGCATTGAGCTCAGGCAGGACCATGGAATGCTCTTTTTTGATCCCCAGATTTGCCCAGTCGTCAATGTTTCATACAGAGCTTTGCCTCTCAAGGAATGCTTCATGTGAGACAAGGTCCTGGCAGAAACCTGCCTTGTTATTCCCTAGCTCACCTACGGCTACACACTAATCCGGTTGCTGGGTTGCCACAGCATTAGAAGTCACAGGGTAAGACAGTCACAGCTCCAGCAGCTCTCCATGGAGATTCCTGGCAGCTTGGCTGTGCTCCTCCTCACAGACAGCTCAGAACTGGCATTTCACTTCCATTTTAAAAAACACAAAAGTATTTAAAATAGAATAGTCATTTCCTGTGGATCTGCGTGTAGCCAAGAACACAAGAATACAAGTACTCACTGACTGGTGTGGAATTAGCAAAAGGAAATGTTGCACAAATAATGTGAAATGCCTCCTAACCCATCGGTCTGCAGGTGCTGCATCTCCCAGGGAAACCTCTGGAGGCTGGACCACAGGAGCAAAGTTTGAGGGTACATCCCCTGCCCTGCTGGCTGTGATCCTGCCACCCTTTTGGAGATAGATACTGGAAGTCTTAACTGGGCAGAGTATTTCCACTCTTTTGCTGCCACTGGGAACGCTGGGGGTGGCAACCATTTCTCACTACACATTACAGAGCAGCTGCCCTAACATTAAAAGCAGAGCAGGCTGAAGCACAAGCAGTGAGAAGCATTGGCTATAAAGGTTCCCAATGTCTAATAAATTAAGGAAGCAGATCCTTGTCACTGCTGCACAGTCGTGTGCTTGCTGGCCCTGGCTGAAAAAAGCAACAAACCACAACTATACCTGCATTAACTGCAGCAGCGCTTGTACCAGCAAACCTCCAGCCAGCCCTGCAGTGGTTCTCCCTGCTCCATTCTGGGAATGGTTTTCCATGAGCACAGGAGCTGGCTAATGCTGTTCTGAGTATGTCTCAATGAGAATTTTTGCTGAGTGTGCTTTCCTAGACAGCAAAACACAAACAAGATGTTCCACAGTCTCTTTGTAATTAGGAATAAGCCAGAATTCCTTTTTAATGTTACTCTGAAGGGACGGCGTTGCATCCTGGAGGAAAAGCTGTCTTTACTGAATGATTACAGCCTTGTATGAAATCTTCAGCAAGTCTGATCCAGATTCATCCTGGCTGCCTTTGATACCTCAGAGATACTGAGAGTTTGGATTTGGTCATTTTAAGCACCTTTACAGAGAGCAGAAAGGTGGTGTTAAGAGTGCTATGCAGAGCTGGAATGGGCACAGCCATCCCTTTCCGCTGACTCTGGTATGAGCACAGCCCCGAGTTAGCTTTTGAAATCAATGTCTATAATTAGGTGGGATAAATCTGGACCCTAAAGCCTGTGCATTACTCAGCTATCTCAAACCAAACTGCATAAACCTCCTGCATTCTGGCTTCCAGTGTGGGGGATGAGCCATGTACGTGTCTGCCCAGGGTCCTCTCAGGTCACTCCTGATGCTCTGGGGCTCCTCCCAGGGTCTTGGGGGCTGCTCCAAGTGCTCCTGGGTTCCTTCCAGCATCTCTGCGGGGGAAGATGTTATTTACATGCCAAAAGTAGCAATCACCATAACCTTTGTACTAAACCAGCTATTTGATCTCCAGCAAGAGCCTTCACAGGGCTATTCTGCCCACCTCACAGAAGCAGTTGGACTCTGTTCTCCAAGCACAGACCATGGTGTGTGCACAAGCCTTAAAGTACCTCTGTCTGGTAGGAATGACAGAGTGCCAGCCCCATGTGTTCTGTGTAGAGAGAATCGAGGTCATCTGCTGCTCATGCCTCAGTCCACTCCCACATCAAGGCAACAGTCTGAGCCCAGCCAGGCTTGAAGAACTCAATTAGAGGCCACTTTCAAGTTTTAGGTGCATTATGGAACAAGAAGAGGTGCCAGGACTTGCAGACATCACTGTCATCCTAACGAGCATGTATAATCATAAATGGCTCTGCTAAAACAACCACCAAAGTACGCTCAGCAGAAGCTGCGACCAACACAGGAACTGCCCATGCAAGAGCGCGCTACCGAAGGTGGATGGTAGAAGGTGAACAGCGCGGCGAGGGTGGTGTTTATCCAGACTGGTATGCTCGGCTGGCGGGCTGCCATAGGAGCACCCGCTCAGGACTGAGGAGCCACCTCACGGGGCACGGCTGTGCTCAGCACCGGCCCGAGAGCGGGCTCCATGCCCGGCACTCCCCGCCTCACAGCGGCGCGGGCCGCCCGCCACAGCCCGCCGAGCGGCGCGGTTGCCATAACAACAGCCGCCGGCCCCCGCCGCCTCAGGCGGCTGCGCGCCAGAAAGTGCTAGAAAGGCGCTGCAGCCCGCGCATGCGCAAGCGGGTGCGCTCCCCCCCCCCTTCCGTCTCCGCCGCAGCGCTCCGGGGGTAACGGAGGGCGGCGGGGACCGGCGGGGATGGGTTGGGAGAGGGGAGCTCTCCCGGAGGAGCGGCGGTGGCGGGAGGCAGCGGCGTGCCCGTGACCCGCGGGGGAACGGCGGGTTGAGGTTTCCCTGGAAACCGCCCTCTCCCGCAGTGAGGAGGAGCTGCCGCCTACGCTGCGCAAAGTGCGCACCCGGCTTCGGGAATGGGCGGCTGCGCGAGCCACCGCCCAGCGCCCGCTGCGGAGTCATTGCGACGGTTACTAGGACACTTCGTGCTCAGCCAATCGGCTGGCGTTAGCTCATCCCGGGGGCCGGCAGCCAATCACGTTCGACATCAATCATTCAATTAAGCCAATCGGAAGCGTCTCTAGCGAGGAGGGCGGGCACTCGGGAGCCCCGGTTGCCTAACAGTAAAATCAACAGACAGCTGGGCGGAGCTAATAGGAGAGGGTGGTTTGAATGACAGTCTTTTTGGCCAATAAGATCTCCTCTTTCGCAGAGCCTCGTTATAAGTAGCCAATAGCCACTGCAACTGGCCGTCTGGGAGGGGAGAGGAAAGCTGCGCGCGCATTCCGCTGCTATATAAGGGTTGGCGGTTTACCTCACGGAGCCAGAGTCGGTTGAGAGCAGGGTGATTTTAGGTGGAAGTGCCCTGTGTCGCCGCCATCATGAGGGAGATCGTGCACCTGCAGGCCGGGCAGTGCGGGAACCAGATCGGAGCCAAGGTCCGGGCGGTGGGCAGAGGGCGGCGGCAGGAGGGGGGGGACACTGATGGGTGGCGCGGGGCGCGCCCGACCCGGCCGCTCCTGACGCGGTTTTCCCTGGCAGTTCTGGGAGGTGATCAGCGACGAGCATGGCATCGATCCAACCGGCACCTACCATGGAGACAGCGACCTGCAGCTGGAGCGCATTAACGTCTATTACAACGAGGCCACAGGTAGGGCCTGTCCCGCCTCCCCCTCTTCCCGATCTGCCCCCGGCGCCGCAGTCACGGCTTCTCCTCGTTTTGCAGGTGGCAAGTACGTGCCCCGCGCCGTGCTGGTGGACCTGGAGCCCGGCACCATGGACTCCGTGCGCTCCGGGCCCTTCGGCCAGATATTCAGGCCAGACAACTTCGTGTTCGGTGAGTGCGCCGGGAGCGGGGGAGGGACCTGTCGTGTAACCGGCTCGGGGTGGGGTGGGCAGGGCAGGGACGCTGCACTGCGGGCTTTGCCGCTGCACATGCTCCTGAGGCGAGCGCGGCCCCGGGGAGGGGGTTAATCCTGGCGCTGCGTGACGGGTGCGAAATACCGGCGAGCCTGCGGGCGGTGCGGGATGGCAGCTGCGGGGGAGCCGTCCGAGGAGGCGCAAGGGGTCGTTGCTCTTCCGAGTCTCGTTACCTCCTCCACATCAACAGGAGCAATCAAACGGCTGCTGTGTCATTAGTAATAAATGTTTTCTGTGTGTCCGCCGAGCCATTTCAGAGGTGCTTGTGTGAAACCACAGCTCAGTGCTGGCTAAAAGGAAGCTCTCTTGGGGGTGGGGTTCTGTGTAGCCTGATGCTCCCTTGCTTGCAAGCAATAAGCAGGAAGCAGTGACCGTAATCTAATACGAAAATGGCTCTCTTCCAGGTCAGAGCGGCGCAGGAAACAACTGGGCAAAGGGCCATTATACGGAAGGTGCTGAATTAGTTGATTCTGTGTTAGATGTTGTAAGGAAGGAGGCAGAAAGCTGTGATTGTCTCCAGGGCTTTCAGCTTACTCACTCCCTCGGTGGTGGTACGGGCTCAGGTATGGGTACCCTCCTCATCAGCAAAATCCGTGAAGAGTACCCAGACCGAATTATGAATACTTTCAGTGTTGTTCCATCCCCTAAAGTGTCAGATACTGTAGTAGAGCCCTACAATGCCACACTCTCGGTTCACCAGCTTGTGGAGAACACAGATGAAACATACTGTATTGATAACGAAGCTCTCTATGACATATGCTTCAGAACACTGAAGTTAACCACTCCAACCTACGGTGATCTGAACCATTTAGTGTCAGCCACCATGAGCGGTGTTACCACCTGCCTGCGGTTCCCAGGCCAGCTCAATGCTGACCTGCGGAAGCTGGCAGTCAACATGGTTCCCTTTCCCCGTTTGCACTTCTTCATGCCTGGCTTTGCCCCTCTCACCAGCCGTGGGAGCCAACAGTACCGGGCTCTGACAGTGCCAGAGCTGACACAGCAGATGTTCGACGCAAAGAACATGATGGCTGCTTGTGACCCGCGGCACGGCCGCTACCTGACCGTGGCTGCTGTGTTTAGAGGCCGTATGTCCATGAAAGAGGTGGATGAGCAAATGCTAAATGTTCAGAACAAAAATAGCAGCTATTTTGTGGAATGGATCCCTAATAACGTTAAAACGGCAGTCTGTGACATTCCACCTCGTGGCCTGAAAATGTCTGCCACCTTCATTGGGAACAGCACAGCCATCCAGGAGCTGTTCAAACGCATTTCTGAGCAGTTCACAGCCATGTTCCGCCGAAAGGCGTTCTTGCACTGGTACACAGGCGAGGGCATGGACGAGATGGAATTCACAGAGGCTGAGAGCAACATGAATGACCTGGTGTCTGAGTATCAGCAGTACCAGGATGCTACAGCTGAGGAGGAGGGGGAGTTTGAGGAGGAGGCTGAGGAAGAGGCTGAGTAACAGCTATGCAGATGAATACCTGTAAATTTTGTTTAAAGCTGTATGAACTCTCATCAAACCTCTGTCTGTGTTGTGTTCCTCTTTATGTCTCAAAAGTCACTTCAACTGCTGTACAGGCACCATTAAAGCATTTTTCACAGTGCACGAGCTCGTCTCTCTTTTTCCTTTTGGTAAGCTTTTCGGGTGCTGTTTCCGTAAGTCAGTGCGTACATGTTCTGGAGCTCTGGAAAAGAGAAGCAAAGGACTTGGGGTGAGCCCTGGCTGAGGCAGCCGGGCTTCTGCCTCTCAGCCTGGTGTGGGTGTCACTGGATGTGGTGAACTGGTGTTGCTTTACAATCCAAGTGTGCTGGTGGTGGGGATAACACCTCCTGAGAGGATGGAATTCAGCTTTGAGCTGCATCTAAATTTAGGTACCTGTGTGTGGACTCCTGTTACAGGCTCAGCAGGAGCTGAGCCGCTCTGTAGTAGATACAGGTTCTGTCTCCCTGACAACACCTTCCCAAGGCAGGCAGGGCTCCAGCAGATGAGCCAGGCTGATGGGCTCAGCAGTGCAAAGCGGGCAGGTAGCCACGACCTGTGCCAGCAGCGCTGTGGACGGCAGTGCCACACCACACTGCTGAGGAGGAGCTGAGCTCTTGTGTGCACAGCCATGTTTTCAAATCGTATATGGAGGGTTTAAACCTCCGAGTGTTACTGCAGGCTCTGCTGCTGAGGTGGGCTGAGCACCCGCTAGCACATCAGGGGGGTGTTTCATGGCACCCCTGTATTAACACCACATTCCTGTTGTGGTAGCCATGGTGTCAGCTAAAGTGACTGACCCGCTGCTGGGGAGCTGGGCAGGGGAGCAGGCTGCTTTCCTGGTGAAGAAACCCTGCTCACTGCTCTTAAATTCTGAATTGTTTTGTGCAGAGTTTGTGTGCCTTGAAAACAATTTCTCCTTCCAGTGCCTGAGCTACTTGGAGTCCAAATGGCACCAACTGGAAACTCTGCAAGAATGGGTGGCTGGCTCCAGACCTACCTGGGAGGGAGCTGCTGTAGGTGTAAAGGTGGCAGCAGATGATGAAAGCATGAAGACAAGACATGAGGGTGGGTGACCAAAGCCCTCCCCAAGCAGCCCTACGCAGAGGAAACAGCCCCTGGAACAGTCTGGGCTACACTGAGACACCCCAGAGCTGCCATGCAAAGGATGTGTGCTTCCCCACTCCTGGCTTTCATTTCTACCAAGTTTTCTGCTTCTAGCATTTTCCTCCTCTGCACTGCATTAAGTACAAGCTGTGAGGTTAGTTCTTTCTCCCTTGTCTCCCTGATTTCCCAGCCCACATTACTGAGCTCTGGGTAGGGAAGGGACAAGACAGTTGCTGATTTGTTGACATTTTAGCTTGATACCTTAATGCTTTCAGGTGCACGGGCAGAGCTTCCCCTTCACATGCACAAAAATCACTTCAGCCCTCTCTGTTTAGGCAACACCACTGAGGATCAGGTGACAGTGCAGGGTAGCCACTGCCTGTCTCTGTGGCTAATACCATTTCACTGCTATTATTCTGTGCATTCTCATCCCATTTGTATAATTTGTATCTTGCTTTTTATCAGACTTTAAGGACATGGAGCTGCTGGAGAGAGTCCAGAGGAGGCCATGGAGGTGCTGCGAGGGCTGGAGCAGCTCTGCTCTGGAGCCAGGCTGAGAGAGCTGGGCTGGGTCAGCCTGGAGAAGAGAAGGCTCCTGAAGGGCAGACCTGAGAGCAGCTCCAGTGCCTAAAGGGGCTGCAGGAAAGCTGGAGAGGGGCTTGGGACAAGGGGTGTAGGGACAGGCCAAGGGGAATGGCTTTAACCTGCCCGAGGGGAGACTGAGATGAGCTCTTAGGCAGAAGCTCTTCCCTGTGAGGGTGCTGAGGCGCTGGCACAGGGTGCCCAGAGAAGCTGTGGCTGCCCCATCCCTGGCAGTGTTCAAGGCCAGGTTGGACACAGGGGCTTGGAGCAAGCTGCTCTAGTGGAAGGTGTCCCTGGCCGTGGCAGGGGTTGGAGCTGGAGGAGCTTTAAGGTCCCTGCCAGCCCAAACCAGGCTCTATTCTACGAATCACTTTCCTGACGAAGACACTGTAACGCACCCGGGTGACGGGCAGGGTGTTACTGAGCCTCCGCTGCTTTAGCAGGGGTTTGGTGGCTGGAAACCAGAGGAACATTCTGCACAAGCCCAGGCTGACAGCCGGGCTGACAGGCCCTCCTGCAGGAAGGGGATGGCACCACTCCAGCACAGACCAGGAAATAACCTACTACCCACATGGAACAGGTGAGCAATCGTTCACTTCTCCAGCACTGCAGCTAATAACAGCGCTACTTAATGACAGCAATTAGTATCAGTGACTTTCCTTTCCCTCAGCTGATAACATTACCTGGTACAAAGCCCATGTAGGAAGGTATCAGTCCAGCACTGGTGTAAATTCTGTTGGTAGGCCAGTAATTCTGGGGATATCTCTTGCCAAAGCTGTAACATGGGTTTCTCAGCATAAACTGGGGGGGAGGAAAGAACACCAGGGTACAGTTAATTTTAAAACACACCGTTTTTACCAAGTCATCTGCTTTGACTCTGCATTCAATATTGAAGCCATGTAAAGCAATTCTCCTTCCAGTTCAGTTTTCTTCTAATTAGGAGCTACACTGCATTCACCTCCGCCTCTGGGCATCACCTGCAAGTCCCAAACACCTTGTGCTCCTGTATCTGATGTACTGGGAGCCAGCAATGTCTGCTGGGCTTGGGTACAAGCCTCATCTGCTCCTGTGCTGTGACTCTGCACATCTGGGGCTTGGTTTGACCCCTTCAGCTGGGTTTGTTTCTCCATGAGTCCCACTGGTGGCGATCAGCCGGCAGTTCCCTGGCTGGGAGGGACAGGAAGGCTTAGGGAGAGTGTAAATCACCCCCTGCAACTGTCTGCCCCCACCAAGGCCAGCCCCAGACGAGGGACTGGAGGGTGGATGTTGCTGCTCTCAGTATTCAGATGTCACTTAAAGCTGTGCTGCCCACACTGGTGGAGAAGGGATGGGGCTGATGGAGCTGAGCAGCCCGTGGGGCTGCTGACCCATCCTGTGGTGGTGATGGAGCGGCTGCTGCATCCCTCAAGCGCTGCACTGAAGCGTGAGGGCTGCACTATTTTGCCTGATGCAGGCAGTAAGCAGTGATCCATAGCACATCCCAGTATGTAACCTAGGGCAACAGAGATTTAGGGCAGCAGATTAATGGCTTGAAGCCATCTTAGATAGAAATGTGGTGTGATTTGGTTGGGGTTTTTTTCAGTGTACTCTTATTCCTTCAGTGCCTGATGTGCCACAGCTGAGCTCTGGAAGGCTGGATTCTGCTGAATCCTGCAACAGAAACACCTCCCTCGCTGATTTACTACAAGCAGAATGCTACTTAAGGAATCAGGGGCAGAAAGGCTTTGCAAACAGCACATTCAGTTCTGATAATGCCACAGTTTGGGGTTGTTTTTCCTTGCTGCTTCATCTCAATTCCTATTAATGGCAGAAGCATAAGGAAGCCAGCACAGGAAAACACATTTCAGCCTGAGAAGCAAGAGGCTGCCATGAGCAGCCAGACCTGCTGCTCTCCCTGCTGAGTCATTTCTTCCCAGCTGAGTTTTTCTGAGCTGGGGAGCCTCAATCTTGGACTTTTTTCCTACATCAGACCCGTACACTCTGGGATGAAGGCGCTGCAGCCAATCCCAGTGACCAGAAAGGATTGGGAATGTTTTAACCTGTGTCACTGAGCTGACCAGCCCTCACCAGTGCTGGACCAGGGATGCTGCTGCATCTCACTGCATCCTGGTAGCAGGAGGAAATGCATCGCTTGGAATGCAAACTGTTAACTACTGGGGGGAGGGATCTCATTTTCCCATGTAGGAGGGAACTATATGGGGGATCTGACAGCAAGGGGACAAACAGCATTTCAGGAGGGATATTTCTGCATCCTTCCCAAAAGGAGATCTAAATCCCTTTAAGACAAATCCTGTTAGGAAAGGAAAAAGCTTTACAACCAGTTAAAAGAGAGGAATATCCACCCAAGCAGGCCAGGAAGGCATCCGGCACTGCCAGCCCAATAGAGAAGGTGGATTGCACAAGGGAAGCACAGATTGTTGCATCCTGTGTTTCTGCACTCAGAGCCACATATTTAGCAGCCACCCTTGACCCAGCCCTCTCTAGATTTGCTTAATCCTTTTATGAACTCATTTCTTCTCCCTCAATGTCCCAAGGAAACAAGTTACAGGCTTTAATTGCTCATGATTTTTTCACCATGTTACCTAATAGCATTTTACTCTGCTTGTAACTTATACCCCAGTCCTAACCCTACTGCTGCAAGTGAAACCACTTCTGGTGTTGCAGCTGACTCAGTTACACAGCTGGAATGAGATTTGGGCCTGTAATGTACCTGGTGTTGGTCAAATTCCTTCATTGCTTCCTTCACACTCCGGATGTAGTTCACACCATGAAACCAGGAGAGGCGGGGGATGAATCCAGCGTACCCTGGGGATGAAGACAAGAGAGAACATTGTCTGCTTGTGAATATACATATCCTACAGAGATCAACCAGCCCAGAAGTGGAACAGGCTGGGATAAATACAAAACCTCAGCAGAGCACAGGAAGGAAAAATGCACCCATTTAAAGTGTAAAATTAACTCTTACCCATGAAGTATCTGTTCTGAAAGAGTCTTTTTTACAATGCCCAAGGAAAACTCAATGGATTGAGCTGATCTGGGTTGATCTCCATGAGGTATGGGAGAAACATTTCATTTTCTTATGGCCTTTCCTGTGCACCAACAGCTCTGTCATGTTCTCTCCCAGTTTAATACACATTCAGGAGCTAACAACAAGGCGTCCAACCTTTCTTCCTCACTTGCCCGGCCCATCCAACAGATTTCCACCAAGTAGGAGACAGAAACTATACAAAGTCTAAACCTACATAAAACATAGCGAGGTACATCTAAAACACAGGCAGAACTCCCTCTTCCCAAAGGAATGCTTTGAAGAGAGAGAAAATTGTCTTCTGCATCCTGAAGCATCAATGCTCTTTCATTTTGACTGCAGTACTCTGATACAGAGCTCCTCTTTGCTGTGGTCCACTGCAGAGTGAAGATCCCCCCACCCCATGCATCGCCCTCTGCAATGCTCAGGCTCTTCCAGAGCAAGTGGTGGAGCTACAGAACAGACTTCCTTGTCCACCAGCTTTATGGAGTCCTGGCGGTGGGATGCATCACTGCTTGTTGGCTTCATGATTGCGGAAGGGCTCTTGTTGCTGAGAGAGAAGGAACCACCTCAAGGGCAGCAGGAGGTGGTGCAGAGCCCATGGCCCAGCTCTGCATTTCTGGAGCATTTTCTAGCCTGGCCCTGGGGCTGTGGGGGCCTCGGGTGGCTCCTGCGTCCAATCCATGATGAGCTCTCCTGCCCATGAAGAGCATCCCAGAGGAGCACCCTTGCATGGAGAGAAGCAGTGGCATTTTCCATCCCAAAGTGCTAACTGAACCAGAATGACCAGCCAGGATCCCCGAGGTTTCCCATGGGGAAGGATGGTGATGCGGCTCTTTCCGAGGGGGACTCCCTCCCTTTTACCTGTGATGACTTTCTGCTGGATCACCTTTGGTAGATCCGTTTCTGGCAACCAAATCTCCTCCTCCTCGGCCCCGCTGGTTCTCCCGGGCCCCTGGGTCAGCGGTGGCAATGTCACCTGCCCCTGCGTTACAGGTTCAGAGCAAGAGCAGTAAAAGCTGCTTCTTCCTACAGCCCCATTGCTTAAATCAGCAACAGAACCTGTGAATGGCAGCTGCCATTTCCTGTTCTTCATGGAACCATAGAATAGTTGGGGTTGGAAAGAACCTTAAGATCACCCAGTTCCAACCCCCCTGCCATGGGCAGGGACACCTCACACTAAACCATGGCACCCAAGGCTCTGTCCAACCTGGCCTTGAACACTGCCAGGGATGGAGCATTCACAACCTCCCTGGGCAACCCATTCCAGTGCCTCACCACCCTCACAGTAAAGAACTTCCTCCTTATATCCAATCTAAACTTCCCCTGATTAAGTTTTAACCCGTCACCCCTTGTCCTATCACTACAGTCCCTAATGAAGAGTCCCTCCCCAGCATCCCTATAGCCCCCCTTCAGATACTGGAAGGCTGCTATGAGGTCTCCATGCAGCTTCTCTTCTCCAGGCTGAACAGCCCCAACTTTCTCAGCCTGGCTCCATACAGGAGGTGCTCCAGCTTTTTCTTCCCAGCTTTTCACTAGGAGCTACCCAAAGGCTTCTGGTGAAGTCCCATTGCACGTGCCCGCTGCACACAGAGGCTCTGCCCAGGGAGAGCAAGGGGAGCTTTGGGCACTGAGCTCCTCTCTAAACCTGCTTCTCAGAACAAGGAGCAGGAATGCCCTTTCCTGGGATCTCTGCCCCAGCCAGCTCTTGATGTGATCGGTTCATGGGATCCCTGCTCTCTGCCCTCAGGGAGCGCGCAGAGCCCCGGCTGGCTGCAGCGGGATGGAAGAAATGAGGGGCTCAGACACGTTGGTCCCAAGTGCTCCTGGCTCTGCGGTGTGAAACAGCACCAGCTCCAGAGGCAAAGCCAGTGCTTGTGCTTAAACAAGGGGCAGCTGTGGTGAGAAACTCAGGTGGGAGCAGGGAGGGGATCAGAAACCCAGTGTGTAGCCAAAGGGGACAGGAGGAAGAGGGTGCCAGGGCTGCCTGTTCACCCAAAGGAAACAGGCCTGGCACAGTGCAAGGTCTGATGATCGCTGGGATTTGAAGCTAATACTTCAGCAGGTAAGAAGTTCAGATTTTTTAATTAAGAAGAGCAATTACTGAGTACTGCAATTTCCTGGGTATGGAAGGGATTTGCTACTGCTGGAAATGTTTCTGCATTTCATATTTCTCTGCATGACACTCTAAGCTCTCTGCCCTTGTCATCCACACCCACGTCACAGAATCCCAGCCTGGTTTGGGTTGGAAGGGACCTTAAAGCTCCTCCAGCTCCAACCCCTGCCACGGGCAGGGACACCTTCACTAGAGCAGCTTGCTCCAAGCCCCTGTGTCCAACCTGGCCTTGAACACTGCCAGGGATGGGGCAGCCACAGCTTCTCTGGGCACCCTGTGCCAGCGCCTCAGCACCCTCCCAGGGAAGAGCTTCTGCCTAAGATCCAACCTGAATCTCCCCCATTTAAGTTTAAAGCTGTTCCCCCTTGTCCTTTCACTACAGCCCTGATGATGAGCGCATCAGGGCCCCTTTTCACTGCCCTGTTCCAAGGAGATCCCTTCCATGCTCACCAGTCCCAATCCCCATCCCTCCCCAGCAGCATCCTCTACCCCGTGCCTGTTCCACCCCAGAACACTTACTGGTGCGCTTCCTGCCCAGGCACCGCCGCGCTGGCCGGGTCTGCCCCTTCTCGTCAGCCACTGTCTCCCTTCGGACGCAGGACAGTGTGGAACACTGCGGGGGGAGTCCCGAACCACTTGTGTCCTCGGGACATACTCGCTGGAGGGGTCCCGGGGCTCAGGGTCCGTCTGCACCATGGTCAGCTCTTCCTCGGACAGCTCCGGCTGCAGCGGGGGCAGCCCGGCCTGAAGGAGTGGGTCAGGGAAGGTCGCTGCAGCCCCAGGTCTCTCATAGGGGAAGCACCCTGTGGAATGACAGCGAGGAAAGGGAAAGGAGTGGCTGAACGGGGGATTCCCATCACCCTGGACCTCAGCCCCGTGTGGTGAAGGAAAGGAGCCTGGAGCTCAGCAGCATCCCACAGGCTGTGATTGCATCCTGTGGGTGCCATCGGCCCGCCCAGGTAACCATCCTGCACAGGAAAATGCACAAAGAGAAGCTCAATAGCTTGGAATTTAATCTAAATGGCACCTAAGCTCTACGATACCATCAGCTGAGCTATACAGGGCAAAGTAAACCCCAGCGTGTCCCTTTGCTCCCTGTGGCCGTGTCAGCGCACCCCAAACACAGACCCACGGGTCCAGCACCGCCTCGAGCTCTCCGATCCCATCACGGACAATACCCGGAGGACCCCAGGCGAGGCTGCACTGAAGGGTTCAAGGAACCTCCCTGACAGCAGGAGCTGGGGATGAAGTCACCAGCAGCAGCCAGCGCTTCCCAGCTCCAACGCTGGCAGACGAAGTAGGGGTTGGTGAGGAGAGCGTGGAATGGGGAGAGGATAATGAGGGAGGGCAAGCGGGCTGACTGGTTAGTTGGGTCCATCCAAACTGCAGCTTAATCCGAGGACATGCAAATATAAATGTCCAGGAATGAAGCCCATAAACACCAGCTGTGGTGGAGACCCGGCTCCCGGGAAACAGGGCTGGGATGGGCAGAAAGGCTGGACGCTTCCAAGCTGCACAGCACAAATCCCCAGCAGGAAATGGGAAAGCATCGCCTTGGCGTGGCCATCCCCAGGGAAATGGAGACCCAGATCCTGCTGGGAATGTTGCCCTCAGCCTGGAGAGGCCTCGCTCCCACCAGGCAGGGTGTCCGCACGGTGTGGTACAGGGCACACGTGTCTCCACGGGATGGATCATGGGAGAGGTGCTGCTGCTGCAGCCTATTTTGGGTCTGCTCCACAGGGACCAGGCACTTTGGCTGAAAGAGCTGGGACTTGGCAGGAAATTCCTGCAGATTCCCAGCGTTGGGAATCTAGAGGAGAGTATCTCAGTGTCTGATGGAGGAGATGGGGCCTGCGAGCAGGGAAAGAGGGACAGTGGGAAAGGGCACACAAGCCCATCCACTGATCTGAGGTGGGAGCATTGGGATGCAAAGTGAATCACAAGCTGTGAGTAGGAGCTCTGAGGAGAACAAGCCCTGCACCAGTGGGGTCAGCTGGGAAAGGGCTGGGAGCAGCAGAGCTGGGTGTTCCCAGAGGATGGATCTGAGCCCTTGGAGTTGTGCTGGACCCACCAGGGAAGTTCATTGTCCTCACAGCCTGGGTTTGTGCTGCAGAGCTGCTCACACAGGGATGCTCCAGTCACTGCTGAGCGCTGCTCACACAGGGATGCTCCAGTCACTGCTGAGCGCTGCTCACACAGGGATGCTCCAGTCACTGCTGAGCAGCACTCACACAGGGATGCTCCAGTCGCTGCTGATGAGCAGCACTCACACAGAGCCAGGACCTTTTCTGCTCTTCCTGCAAGCAGGGGGCCACAAGGAATTGGGGTAACGCAGCCAGGCAGTGACCCCGACTGACCCAAGGGGTATCCTGGACCATGGAACACCATGCTCAGCAATGAAACTGGGGGAGCATTGGAGTGGGGCTGCTGCTTGGGGGGTGGCTGGGCATCACACAGTGATGGTGAGCAATGGTTTCCAATGGCATCACTTGTCTTGCCTGGGGTTTGTTTCTGTCTTTCTGGTATTTTCCTTTTCATTACAATTTATTGCCATTTTTCTATTCCAACTATTAAACAATTATTATATTACAAATAAACATTAGATTTTTATCTCAATCCATGAATTTCCTCCCTTTTATCCTGATTCTCCCCTATCCTGCAGCAGTGGGGTGAGTGAGCAAGTAGCTGCTGGGGCTTAGCTGCCGGCTGGGGTTAAACCACCACAGGAACATGGAAGGATTTCATTACACAGCAGACCACCACCTACCTTCATCTAACAGCAGGTAACCCAGGAACTTAAATCCCCCTCCCCACTCCACCAAATGCCAGGGTGAGGAGCCCCACGCTCAGCTCCACTTCGCACCGATGCTGCTACCCCGGAGCTGTGATGGATAGCTGGAGGGATGCTGCATGGATAACAGCCGGGGTCCCGCCAGGAGCCTGCCAAGGACCCGTGCGCATCGGAGCAGGGCCCATGCAGCGAAGGGCCCGGGCTGTGCTCACCTGGGTGCCCGGGGGGGTGGTCCTGGCCTCCATGCTTGGCCCCGCTAAAGTCCTCCATGAACTCCGGCTTCTGCAGCGGTGCCAGCAGAGCGCGGGGGCTGCGGGCAGCGGTGGGGTCGGTCAGCAGCCGGTGCGTGGCCCTGCCAAAGGTCTCTCCGAACTGGAACCGGTACTGAGGGACGAAGCCCTCGTAGCTGAGGAGGAAGCAAAGAGTGGTCACTGCGGTGGTGCTGGGACCTGCCCCTCGGCTCGGTTTCTGTTTAGAGCTGGGGGGCACCGGGAAGGCTGCAGCCGGGAGCACGCAGGGGCTGGAGCGGGTGAGCCCAGGGAGGTGATTGCACAGGGATGTCCTGTGCAGGAAGGAGCAGCACGGGGGGAGCACGGAGCAGCTGTGTGTGGTTCTGCAGGAAGCCAGGCAGGTGAGTGTGTGTGTGCACGTGTGTGTGTGTTAGCACGTGTGTGTGTTAGCACGTGTGTGTGTGTGTTAGCACATGTGTGTGTTAGCACGTGTGTGTGTTAGCACGTGTGTGTGTGTGTTTGCACGTGTGAGTGTGTGTTAGCACGTGTGTGTGTGTGTTAGCACGTGTGTGTGTTAGCACGTGTGTGTGTGTTAGCACGTGTGTGTGTGTGCACGTGTGTGTGTGTTAGCACGTGTGTGTGTGTTAGCACGTGTGAGTGTGTGTTAGCACGTGTGTGTGTTAGCACGTGTGTGTGTGTGTTAGCACGTGTGTGTGTTAGCACGTGTGAGTGTGTGTTAGCACGTGTGTGTGTGCACGTGTGTGTGTTAGCACGTGTGTGTGTGTGTTAGCACGTGTGAGTGTGTGTTAGCACGTGTGAGTGTGTGTTAGCACGTGTGAGTGTGTTAGCACGTGTGTGTGTGTTAGCACGTGTGAGTGTGTGTTAGCACGTGTGTGTGTGTTAGGACGTGTGTGTGTGTGCACGTGTGTGTGTGTTAGGACGTGTGTGTGTGTGCACGTGTGTGTGTGTGTTAGGACGTGTGTGTGTGTGCACGTGTGTGTGTGTTAGCACGTGTGTGTGTGTTAGCACGTGTGAGTGTGTGTTAGCACGTGTGTGTGTGTTAGCACGTGTGTGTGTGTTAGCACGTGTGTGTGTGTTAGCACGTGTGAGTGTGTGTTAGCACGTGTGTGTGTGTTTGCACGTGTGTGTGTGTGCACGTGTGTGTGTGTTAGCACGTGTGTGTGTGTTAGCATGTGTGAGTGTGTGCACGTGTGTGTGTGTTTGCACGTGTGTGTGTGTTAGCACGTGTGAGTGTGTGTTAGCACGTGTGTGTGTTAGCACGTGTGTGTGTGTGTTAGCACGTGTGTGTGTGTGCACGTGTGTGTGTGTTAGCACGTGTGTGTGTGTTAGCACGTGTGAGTGTGTGTTAGCACGTGTGAGTGTTAGCACGTGTGTGTGTGTGTTAGCACGTGTGTGTGTGTTAGGACATGTGTGTGTGTGCACGTGTGTGTGTGTTAGCACGTGTGTGTGTGTTAGCACGTGTGTGTGTGTTAGCACGTGTGTGTGTTTGCACGTGTGTGTGTGTTAGCACGTGTGTGTGTGTGCACGTGTGTTTGTGTTAGCACGTGTGTGTGTGTTAGGACGTGTGTGTGTTAGGACGTGTATGTTAGGACGTGTGTGTGTGTGTGCACGTGTGTGTTTGCACGTGTGTGTGTGTTAGGACGTGTGTGTGTTAGGACGTGTGTGTGTTAGCACGTGTGTGTGTGTTAGGACGTGTGTGTGTTAGGACGTGTGTGTGTTAGGACGTGTGTGTGTTAGCACGTGTGTGTTAGGACGTGTGTGTGTGTTTGCACGTGTGTGTGTGTTTGCACGTGTGTGTTAGCACGTGTGAGTGTGTGTTAGCACGTGTGTGTGTGTTAGCACGTGTGTGTGTTAGCACGTGTGAGTGTGTGTTAGCACGTGTGAGTGTGTTAGCACGTGTGTGTGTGTTAGCACGTGTGTGTGTTAGCACGTGTGTGTGTGTTAGCACGTGTGAGTGTGTGTTAGCACGTGTGTGTGTGTTAGCACGTGTGTGTTAGGACGTGTGTGTGTGTTTGCACGTGTGTGTGTGTTAGCACGTGTGTGTGTTAGCACGTGTGTGTGTGTTTGCACGTGTGTGTGTTAGCACGTGTGTGTGTGTGTTAGCACGTGTGAGTGTGTGTTAGCACGTGTGAGTGTGTGTTAGCACGTGTGTGTGTGTTTGCACGTGTGTGTGTTAGCACGTGTGTGTGTTAGCACGTGTGAGTGTGTGTTAGCACGTGTGTGTGTGTTAGCACGTGTGTGTGTGTTAGCACGTGTGAGTGTGTGTTAGCACGTGTGAGTGTGTTAGCACGTGTGTGTGTGTTAGCACGTGTGTGTGTTAGCACGTGTGTGTGTGTTAGCACGTGTGAGTGTGTGTTAGCACGTGTGTGTGTGTTTGCACGTGTGTGTGTTAGCACGTGTGTGTGTTAGCACGTGTGAGTGTGTGTTAGCACGTGTGTGTGTGTTTGCACGTGTGTGTGTGTTTGCACGTGTGTGTGTGTTTGCACGTGTGTGTGTGTTAGCACGTGTGAGTGTGTGTTTGCACGTGTGTGTGTGTTTGCACGTGTGTGTGTGTTTGCACGTGTGTGTGTTAGCACGTGTGTGTGTGTGTTAGCACGTGTGAGTGTGCATTTGCACGTGTGAGTGTGCATTTGCACGTGTGTGTCAGCATGCAAACTGGCTGATGGATTTCCAGGCACTGTAGGCACAGGCTCAGTGCTTCGGTTCATGGGGGAATACAGAGAGCGGCCAAAGCAGCGTCTGTGGAGAGGAAAACTTTATAGAACCCCAGCCTGGTTTGGGCTGAAGGGACCTTAAAGCTCCTCCAGCTCCAACCCCTGCCACGGGCAGGGACCCCTTCCACTAGAGCAGCTTGCTCCAAGCCCCTGTGTCCAACCTGGCCTTGACGTGTGCTGCAGTCACTGGGACAGCCCCCAGTTAAAATCCCATTCCCAGTTAGAGGCGGCTCTGTTTCAGATGCTCCTCTCCCTCTCTCTGCTACTGGGAATTCCCAGGGTCCCTGGTTCAATACCGAAACTCCAACCAAACTCCTGCAGGATGCGCTGCTCCTCTGGCCCCCGGTGCCTGGCACGGGCAGTTGGGTGGCTCAGGGCACCGGAGCCCCAGGTCCATCAGCACCCATCGTGAGCTCCAGCTGTTCTCGGTACCACAGCTCCTCACAGTGATGTTATTCCACCTCTGAAGCAGCAAGGCAGAGCTGGCGGTTGCAATGTACAGACACAAACACTGAAGGAGCCCACTGCCTACCCAGGAATAAAGCCAGATGATGCATGAGGATCATAAGATGATGAGCAAGTACTTTCCCTTCCAAATGCTTTCCCCAAGAGCAAGCAGAGCCACGCATTTCCACTCGGCCAGCGGTCCTGCTTTGCATGCAGGATGGCAGCAGCACCTCCGTGCCTCATCCCCATTGATTTCCAATGGGTCTTGCAACATGGGAAAGCTACACCGGGACCATAAAGCTGAGCGAGGGCACAAATGGCTCAGCCCAGGTAATGACAGGGTGGGGGGAGAGCTGCGAGAGGATTCAACTCATGGCAGTTAAAAGCAAGGCAACAGGAGGAGCTCGGCTGAGTCAGGCCGGGCTGTGGGGAAGGGATGTGCCATGGAGTGAATGGCAAGGGCTGGGCTCAAAGCCCTGGTCCCAGTGGGGCTGTTTGGGCTCCTCCTGCCTTGTGTTTGCCTGAAGAACCCAGAGGGGTCCCCCTGTCCCTGCAGTCGCTGCTCCCACCCCTCACTGGCCTCCCCAGGGCCTCCCACCTGCCCCTCGCTCAGCCCCGGCTCTGCCATCGCTGCTCCCACCCAGCAGCACCAAAACCTGCCCCTGGGCCCTGCCGGGAAGGGCCTTGGCTCTGGACCCCGCACCCTGCGCAGCTCCGTGGAGCTGTCCATGGCTTTACCCCTTCTGTGCCCCGCGTCCTTCCCAAACCAGCCCAGCTCCTTGGCTTTGCCTTCCAGCGCTGCTCTGGTGTTTCCAAAGCCCCATCTGTGACCATTGCCCAGCACAAGCGGCAGCGGCCGATGCCGATGTCCTTGTGTTCACGGCACGGCCCAAGGGACAAGCGGTGAGATGCTGCGATGCAGCAGCATCCTCATCCTCCTCCTGCAGCGCCCAGCGGGGTGCAGGGTCCGCTGGCTCTGGTGGTGCCCCTCAGGCAGCTCCTCCCTGTGCTCAGCACCCAAAGCAGATGCAAAGCAGCACCCGCGGGGGGGTGACACCACAAGCCCACACAGCCCTGCGAAATGCAGGAGCAGAAATGGGTTCCCCTTCCTCCTCCTCCTCCTCGCTTCAGCCCCAGCTCCTGTGTCTGCATCAGGGGCTGAAGCAGGGGTGAGCAGGGGGAAGGTCTGAGGCTTTTGGAGGTGCAAACGCAGCCCCAGCTCCCTCCTTGCTGCTCCTCATCCCTGCCAGCGTGGCTCTGCCAGGGTGGCAGCATGCAGCACAGCCATGCAGCACGGCCATGCAGCACAACCCGTGCTCAGCGCACCCAGCCCCGGAGCTTGAGGAAGCCTGGGAGATGCGGAGATCAGCCATGGAGGAATCCTGCAGGGTGCTGCGATGGGAAGGACCAATCTGAGCACCAGGAGCGGTGCTAAGGAAGGAAGGGAACAGGTTCCACACCGCCTGCAGCTCGGGGTCTGCCTGCGCTGCATCTGCAGCCGTGGGGGACAAACCTGGTCGGTCGCAGCCCCTCTGCCCCGGACATCGTCCTGACCCCTTTGGAGCCAGCCTCAGGCTGGGCTAATCCCAGTGGTCTGGTACCAACAGACGCTTGTGCGCTGGGGCTGCCTATGGGGAGCCTCTGGCTCTGCCGTCCCATGGGCTATGAGCCCTCAGCCACCGCAGTGGTGTCCACGTGCCGTGAACACATCTCCCAGCACAGGCACCAGGAGACCGCACGCACCATTTCCCTGTCCCCACAAAGCCAATGCCCTGACTCCTGCCATTTGTGTCTTACCTCTTAACCACCAGTCCATCATAGAATCATAGAACAGTTTGGGTTGGAAAGGACCTTAAGATCATCCAGTTCCAACCCCCCTGCCATGGGCAGGGACACCTCACACTAAACCAGGGCACCCAAGGCTCTGTCCAACCTGGCCTTGAACACTGCCAGGGATGGAGCATTCACAGCTTCCTTGGGCAACCCATTCCAGTGCCTCACCACCCTAACAGGAAAGAATTTCCTCCTTATATCCAATCTAAACTTCCCCTGTTTAAGTTTTAACCCGTTACCCCTTGTCCTGTCACTACAGTCCCTAATGAAGAGTCCCTCCCCAGCATCCCTATAGGCCCCCTTCAGACACTGGAAGGCTGCTCTGAGGTCTCCACACAGCTTCCCTTCTCCAGGCTGAACAGCCCCAACTTTCTCAGACTGTCTTCATACAGGAGGTGCTCCAGCCCCTGATCATCCTCGTGGCCTCCTCTGGACTTGTTCCAACAGTTCCATGTCCTTTTTGTGTTGAGGACACCAGAACTGCACACAATGCTCCAGGTGAGGTCTCACAAGAGCAGAGCAGAGGGGCAGGATCACCTCCTTCGACCTGCTGGTCATGCTCCTTTGGATGCAGCCCAGGATACGGTTGGTTTCTGGGCTGCGAGCACACACTGAAGCCGGCTCATGTTCATTTTCTCATCGACCAGCAGCCCTTACCATCACAGTCTGGGCTGCTTCTTTCCAAGAACATCACAAGCAGCTTTGGAAAACCCCCTAACCATGTATGAACCAGCCCACAGCATCCACAGCCCCCGACTCTTCAAAGGCCTTGATCCAGCAGCAGGGCTGTGCTCTGACCAGCCTGACAAGAGGGCGCGATGCCTCTGCAAGCTATCTATCCAATGGAGGCCTTCAAACATCCTTGATGCAGGAGTTATGGCAGTTTGGAGCCAACCCCTGCACAGCTGCCTTGGTGCCATTTGCTGCTTAAAACAAGTTAAGAAAGGGGGAAGGGGGAAAGAACACTGTTGGCCTTACCCTCAATGCACTACGGCAATACCTTTCACTGTACCCTTCTATAAAGTGGTGCTCCTCATGCTGGAGCCCTGCCTCCTTTGGAGCAGGAGTTTTTAATGGTGTCTTTTAAAACCAAACAACTTACCACAGCTCAGAACTACTGATCCCAATGGGAGCTGTTTGCCTCGAACAGGCATTTTGGCTGAACTTACCCAGGGATATGGTAGGGATGGGAAGGGAAGATGCTCTTTTCCTTGGAGGCTGCCATGGCAATGCAGCAGCTCTGGCTGGTGGGAGGAAGGAGATGCAGCACGATGCAGTCGCCTGGGAAACCTCTGTGATGCACCAGGAGCTGTGTTGTGTCGCTCCCAGCTCCTCAGGTTTGCCTGGACACGTCCTTTGTTTCCCCCCATCTGGAAGCCCTGGATGAGCAGGGAGATGTCACAGCACTTGTCAGCCCCCCCCCCCAAGGCTGGTACCCCTGGGACAGCTGTGCCAGATGTTCCCCACCAGCAGCCCCAGCACAGCTCTGGAGAGCCCCAGTCACTAGTGCAGCAGAGGCTCAGGGATTCCCCGTGCTATAGGGGAAGGCTCAGCCCTCCTCTCCCTCAGTGCCTCCTGGTCTGGCTGCGTGAGGATGCAGCCCTTTGCTTCACACACACAAGGGTTGCTGCCATTCCCAACACCACACAGGTGACTGTGTCCTGTGTGTGGTGGGGTTCACCCCCTCCAGCTGAAGGCAGGCACAGGACATGGGGCCTCCTGCACTGAGCAGCCGCCATGGCCAGCACATCACGGCCCACAGAGCCCTGAGCACCAGCATCCTTTCACCAACTCCAGTAGCAGCAGTGAGGCTGCTTCACTGCCCAGGTCCCTCTATGGGCCTGGGGAGCTCAGCCACAGCGCTGGCAGAACCATTCTGTTTCAAAGCAGTAACCAGAAACCAGAGCTCTCATGTGGTCAGGTCCCTGCTCCTCCACCCGAAAGCTTCTCTGAGGAGGTAAAATTGCTGCTTTGACTCCTGCCCTTGGTGCCTAGCGATGGATCTGGACTTTCCAGCCTTTATAAATGTGCTGAGTTTGCCCAGCTCCTGAGCACCACCACGGGACAGCCCCCTCCAGCAGCCCCAGGTCTGCAGTGGATGGTCTGTGAGGGGGTCATGGCTCTTCCCAGAGGTGAGCAGTGAAAGACAGAGGAGATGACAGGTACAAGATGCACCGAGGGGCAGGCCCAGAGGACACAAGGAGGAAGCTCTCCTCCATGGGAGCAGCGCAGCCCTGGGGCAGAGGTGGCATCTCCATCCTCAGAGATCTTCAAAGCCCAGAAGAGCAGCCCAATGGAGCTTTGTGGTCAGCTCAGCTTTTGGTGGGCAATTCAATAAGGGACCTACAGAGGTTCCTCCCAGCCCAGGTCTTCTGATTTTAACATGAAGAAACTGCTTACTGAAATGCAGCACTGTGTTAATGACACCAAACAGTGATCCCAGGCTGGTCCAAGCCCCACTGGCCCAAGGGGGTTCAGGTCAGCATCATCCCAGCACTTCCAGAAGCTCCCTTCAATGCTCACTCCTTTAAATGACCAATGGCTGCTCCTTCAAACCTGGGGGCCCATACTTACCAAAGAGCTATGGAACAATCAGAGCAAGGTATCTGTGCTCAGTGCAGGCACCTGGGTAAAAGAAAAAAGCAGAAATCACTTTTGTCAAGGTTATCATCAGAATTTATTGATACGAGAGAACCTTTGTATGTCCACATGTCAAGAGAGGAACAGCACATCCCGATGGAACAAGTACAGAGCCCATCCAGGTGACTTTACAGTGCTCTGGCACCTCTGAGTACAGGAGATCACACACACGGCCGGGTGTTGCTGGGTACATTGTCTGGGACAGGACAGAAACACTGCAGATACACGTTCAGTGTGTGGTTTGCCAGCACCCACCCAGTGCCCCACAGGCTGCAGCAGGGACCACAATGGCTTTGACTCCCATCACCCAGCTCCAAGCAGACCCTGCACAGGTAACAGCAGCTCCTCACAGCCCCTGCAGTCAAAGAGGGGAAAACACCTATTTGGGGGTGAGATCCACCTTGGAGGTGGGGTGACTTGGACCCTTTGCTCAGAGGACCAGCTCACAGGGAGGTGCTGGGGAACCCCACACTGGGTCTGCAATGGGACAACCTGGGTCCTACCACGTGAGCCACAACTGTGAATCTTCAGGATGGAGTTTGCCCTGCCCAGGGAGCACCACAGCCACACTCCAGGCTGGCACCTGCCAATGCAGCAGCAGGTTACTGCCTTCAGCATAACATTTATCCTCAGATGCTGAGTGTTTGGACATCCCCCTGTCAGCAGTGCCCTCTCGCAGAGCTCTCTGCACAGCCATTCACACTGAGCTTGTGGCTAAGATAAAAGCTATCTTATTATCCTTACTGGAAATACATGCTATGCTGGATGCTGTTTAAAAGGCACCAAGTGCTGAGCTTTCATCTTCTCCCAGCTTATGAAATACTTGGTTTGGTCCTAAGCATCTTGCTACAGGATTAGAGAGGGAATAGCAGAGTATTCCCCAGGCACTCGGTAAATCCTCAATGGATTTATTGTAGAGCTGAATTCCCTCCCTCACTCCAATGGATTTCAGAGCCCTCTAAAACCCTCCAGGGAAGGAGCTGTTTGTGACAGGACAAACAAAACCCAACCCCAAGCTCAATGGCAGAACATACACCCAAACTAAGGGGATGGGTCAGTCCCACCCCCTGCTGCCAGCTCTGATCACAGCATGAAGGAGCCTGGGCCCAAGCGCATCTGCCTGGCCAACAGCACGAACCCTGCCACAGCCCCGAAGAGGAACCACGAACACTCAACATACGTGTCAGGGCATGTGCACACGTGTGTGCTGAGGGACCACCCGTACTCTGCTCCTCCTCTCATGGGAGCTGGGACAAGGGACACGGCAGGTTCTGCGCTCAACCGTTCGGCTTCACCAGATCCCAGTTCCCTCTGCACAGGTAACAGCATTGACTTAGAGATCTCATATTAATGGGTACTTATACAGGATTAATTGCACATCAGTCCATTGTGGCTACAAGTTCATTAGGCTAATGAATCTACATAGTGACAGTAGTACAGTATCAGCTACGTTTCAATACAAACTCCCTAGCCTAGCCTTAATCTGTAGGTCAGAAGAAGATCTTCCACCGCCACGATCTTCCTACAACCTTTAACATTCATTTTCAAAGTTATTTATCTAGAAAACAAACAAAATCCAGTGTGGGGAAAACGCACATATAGAACAAAAGCAGTGCTTAACAACCACAGGAAAAAAGAACATCAGCTTGGACTCTGGGATCAGCATCCTCTGTACACCCTGGCAGCGTTACTTCCAAAGGGTTGCTAAATGCTCCGTCAGTTCAAGTCCATAAAAGCATTTCCTAGCTCTAAACGTTTCTAGTCTCTCACTATACATATTGTCTGTAGCAAGAGCATACAGAAACACTTGCTAATGTGCACAAGACTTCCATTTGATTTAATGGAATAGTTTTAGAAGACTGAAGTCTTTACTTGTAGAAATACAACTGTTTGTGAGTGGCAGTGCTCTCACCGACTGGCAGCTTCTGCTCCACCCAGGAGAAAGCTCCACGTTCCTCAAGGTTTTACTCATCTACGTTGCCCAAAGGTGTGTGGGTATCCAAGAAAACCCCTCTCACAGTATTCCCAGGAAACGATTCAGAAGAGGAGATGATTTTTCAACCAAATGAGATCCTCTGGTCTTGTGTGTCAGACCATGGCCAATAGAATGAGCAGCTGCCATGGACGTCTCAACTTAAATACGGTTCAGTCAAGGAAGGAGAGCAAGGTGGCCTGACCATCTTCTGTGAGGTACAGGCAGAGAGGCACCAAAGTCACTCTGTTCTCAACAGTTTGTCTCTTTTTCCTGGAGTCAAATGTTTGATTCCATTTGCTCTAGCAGGAAGTGGTGAATCATGTCAAAAGTGGGACGATCTTTTATATCCCTGCTCCAACATTTCAACATCAGGTCAAACACAGGGTTAGGGCACAGAGGAGTCTGGGAGAGATAGATCTGCAAGGAAGAAAGGTACAGCTGTTTCAGTGGGTTTTCAGACCAGAACTGAACCTTTACTAAATGAACACCAAGAGGACAGTTTCACTGCAGGTTCACAAGACACAGCCATCATGCAACGCTTGAAATCCATTAAGCGGGAATCTGGCAGTGGAGTCTGGATGGAGCTTCGATGCCATCTCAAATGGCACTGCAGACACTTTGCCAACACGTTTGATGAGCTGGTCACAAAACAGTGCTTTGTGCCCCAGGAGACACGAATGCTTCGGAGAGATTTGTCTTCCAAGTGACAGCAACACACAAACCAAACCCAAATTTACCCCAATAATATCCAAATACTTCCACTCACCGTAGACAACCCATGAGGCTTTCTAAGCATCGTGACAGCTTGTTAGCAGAGAGAAAAAACACCTTTTAGAGCTCATCTAAAGCACAGCCTGGCAGAACTGCTTTTTCCCCTCTCATTTCAATACACATCTTTTAGGCTCTTCACTAAATCGTCAGTATTCAGGAGACAGTGAATAAAACCTCCCATTATTTTATTCCCCTTAATCCTTTAATTTGACTGGTGCTAAAGGTGAATTTGGAGAGAACAGCAAACTGCTTACAACCTGCACTCCACGTTTTTGGGTGCAGCGATGCTCAGTACTGCGGGGCTGTCCTGCATCATCACTGGTGTCTATTGAAGGCAGTGCAGCACACAGTCCTGCCTGGGAGCTGGCCAGAGAGGACAGAATGATACAGACAAGCCCTTCAGGCAGAGATGGCCAAAGGCTTCTTGGCATACGTGGAGATATTCCAAAGAGCATCTAATCCCTGGGAACTAACAACTCTTCCTTCCCCACCTCAGTAAGTGCTTCCTGGTCTTTCACAGAGAACGCTAGCAAGAGAGAGATGTGACAGGGAAAAAAGCATAAGGATTGTGTAGCAGAGCCCAGAAAATCCAAGGAGGACAGAACAGACTGAGACAGAAGTGGCTTATAATAAGGAAGAAGCACTGGAGAGGGCCAAAAGATTCTTCCAGTGGGATTCCAGGATAGGAAAGCTGGTGCAATGAGCAAAGATAAAGAGGAAGAGAGGTGGCACACACTGAGAAGGTGAGTAATGCAGAGTCCTGCAGACGATGTAAGGCCAGCAGAAAGGCCCTGGGAGATCCACCAGGCTGTGATCAGGACAAGTGAAGGAAGGAGAGGTCATGTTCGCTGTCTTACCTGCCTGCCCTGGCTCCGGAAGAACTCTCCTGTGTTCTCGATGACTTGCTCATCCGAGAGGAGGCTGTAAGGTTGCTCCTTACACAGTATGAACATCTCCCAGAGGGTGACCCCAAAGGCCCAGACATCACTGGCTGTGGTGAACTTGCCCTGTGAATGAAAGAACGCTGTCAGCCCAGGTTGCTCACAGAGCACATTCAGCAGAACCCATTCCAGTCTACACCCTCTGCAGCTAGACACGAGGATGTAGAATTCATACCTGGGAAGATGCTCTGAAGAAGAGGCAGCTCCCAGCAGTGCACAAAGGCACTGAGGTATGACATGGCTGCTGTGTGGGACAGCAGCAGCACGTCTGTGGGACCCACAGGACAGCTCTGAGAAGGTGCAGTTGTCACTGGGGCAAACCTCTTGAATCAGGAAGCAAGTCTCAGAAAGCCAGAGACAACTTTTCCTCCTGAGGAAGCATCTGCAGCAGTAGGAGAACGGACTTCCACCCAGAACACAGCAGGGCTGCCCAGGGAAGCTTTGAACAGGAAGCAAAGCCCTCAGGGTGAAAGCAGAGCCAAAGCAGACTCCAGACTCTTACAGAAAGGCCAAGATAATTTCAGTCTCTGCACATAAGAAGTCAGTGACAGTCTGCTCAGGTTCCTGTTTTCTGCCTTGGAAAAAGGGGCCCAAACTGGCTGTGTTAGGAACAAGGTTTCTGAAGAAGTGAAAAGCTAAAGATAGCTCAAAAAATAACAGAATCCACCTGGGGGCTGTTTGGGCAGGAAACATCCAAGACCCAGATTGCTCAGGTTTATCTGGCAACCCTAGCAGTGTGTCAGTGTTTGGAAGGTGCTCACTCAGGGACTGTGAGTGACTTATGGTTTAGATGCAGCTATAACCAGAAAAACAGGGTGAATTTAGAAAAGCTTGGGCCTATCAGCCTTTAAAGAACAGGTAACTGTAGTTGTTCTGGGTACTCAGTGTGGTAAGAAAACAGAACCAGGTGATCTCACCAACTAGTGTGAGAAAGAAATACTGGGCTTGATATTAAGGACCTGCCTCCCCACTGGATGTGTTTGCACTGTTGAATGCTCTCCTGAGGGGAAGACAGCAGGACCCTTGAGCAGGAAACAAAACCCCAACCTCAAAACCTGACTTGGCACTTGAAACTCATGAAGTTTTGTCCCTGCCCCTTTCAGCTTCCCAGCTGGGGAAACAAGAGCAGAAAGGCAACTTCCTTACAACTGCAGCAGGCATCCTGAATGCCAGGCACAGAACAGAAATTAGGCCCCAGATGAGGGCTGATGCCATCCAGAGGGACCTGGGTAAGCTCAAGAAATGGGCCTGTGTGAACTGCAACAAGGTTGAAGGTCAAGGTCCTACAGCTGGCTTGGGGCAACCCCTGGTATCAGTCCAGACTGGGAGAATGAGGGGATTGAGAGGGACTTGTGGGTGCTTGTGGATAAAAAGCTGGACATGACCCAGCAGTGTGGGCTTGCAAATGGTGAAACACTGGCACAGGTTGCCCAGAGAGATACCAGATGCCCCATTCCTGGCAACATTAAAGGTCACGTTGGATGGGGCTTTCAGCAATCTGATCTAATTGAAGATGCAGGGATTTGGATTAGCTGACCTTTAAAGGTCCCTTACAACTCACAGTATGATCCGTGCTGTATTTGCAAGGGCACACTCCTTTCCCAGCATGAGTTACATCCACAGCAACCTCATGGACTTCTCACCTAGGACCATTTGTAGCCCACATTTTGATGCTATAAGGACCTGTTGCTGTTTCAAGGGTGGAAATCAGAGGAAGGGAGAATGGTTTTGTGCAGTCCCTACCAGGAGGATGCTTTCCCAGGCCATCCAACGGATGGGCAGTACAGCTCTTCCCTGGATCCGGTAGTAATCCCCACTGTAGAGATTCCTGCTCATGCCAAAGTCTGCAATCTTGATGGTGTAGTTGTTCCCCACCAGGCAGTTGCGAGTTGCCAGGTCTCTGTGCACAAAATTCAGAGATGCCAAATACTTCATTCCGGAGGCGATCTGGGTGGCCATGTACAGCAGGTTGGAGTAGCTGCAGTAAAGAAACAATCGGTATTGTTGCTCACCCTCAACAGCTTGCATTTGCTGTGTTACAGTGACCTGTTGGTTTAGTTTTTGCTGTGTCAGTGAAACTCAACTGTCTAGTTTCAGGCACTAAATCCCTCACCTGCCAGGCTAAGCCAAGCTCTTGAGCTGCCAAAGCAAGAGCAGACAAGCTGTCCCTGAAATTCAGGGCCCTTGGAATTTGACATCCTTTAGAGTTTTTAATATCAAGTGTTAAAGCTTTTCAAAGAGCTCATGCAAAGCATCAACCTTCTGCAGAGAGACATGGAAAATCAAGCTGTACAATCTCAGAATCTCCTATCTTAAAACCTGCTTGGCCTGGAATTCCACACACAGCCACTGTGGCATGCTTACATGAACGTAAGTATGTCACAACATTAAAGAGACCTTATTTTTTAGTATGTTTAATATTACTGAAAATATAAATGGACGCATTTTCCATCTAATATAATTTTAATTCCCTCATTAGCAAAATGAAGGTAATACCAATAAAGCTGCATGATACACAGACAGGGTTTGGACCATCTGCCTTTCAGCATTCCTCATACACTGTTGTTCTCTGATGTTTCCCACTGTGGGTTGCCCAAATGCTCCACCCAACCAAGCATTTCTCACAACAAATCTGATCAAGCGTTCACAGTTGGTATTTCTCTGATAAAAGTCAGAAAAAGAAAGCCTGTCTCCTCCTCCTCATGCTCTGCTGGCAGTGAGAGAAGCAGTAACATGTTATCTGAATTACAGTGATGGAATGCATCTACTGATTACAGATCCAATCTATCTATGCTCATCAACAGCTAAGCTACCACTACAGCATCTAATGATAATAGATCCAATCAATCTATCCTCATCAACAGCTATCAGTACAGTGATTCAGTCAGCCCCTCGCCTCTGTAGAGGCTCTGGGCACTGCTCCCCTCCCAGCCTTTCAGCACAGTGACCACCACACTCAGCTAGGTGATACCCAGCCCAGTCCCACAGTCAGGAGGTCCATGCTTTTCCTGAGCTGGGTGGACCTGTTGTGCCCAAGAGAAGGAATTCCGCCACCCACTTGTACCTTGTTAACCTGGTTGCTGGCTTTCCACACTAGAGCGGGCACAGCCTCCAAGATCCTGCATTCTCCCTTCCCCTGCTCTGCTGTAGTTGTCTCCTGCCTCAGGCTGTTGCTCTGCCCTTTGAAGCAGCCCAGTCTCTCCTGTCCCACCTGCACCCTGGCAGGGTCCCACCAGCAGCTACTTTTTGGCTCCCTGCCCCTTTGCTCAGCAAGCTCTGCAGGGCTCCACTTCTGCAGTGCTGCATACAGAGGCACAAGACAGGAGACGCTTCTTGGCAGAGTCATCCTCATGACTTGTTAGACAGCCAGAGAGACCGTGAGGAGATGCATTTCAAATACCAAACAGCCATAAGGCCTTTGAAATGCGTCACCTCTCTGCAGGAAAGTGTTCAAGTATTAAGTGTTCAAGGCCAGGATGGACGGGGCTTGGAGCAAGCTGCTCTAGTGGAAGGTGTCCCTGCCTGTGGCAGGGGGTTGGAACTGGATGAGCTTTAAGGTCCCTTCCAACACAAACCAGTTTGGGATTCTATGAAAGGGCTGTTCATCACATCCAGTGTATCAAATATTGGGCCCAAGACACACAGAGAATGGTTGGACCTTGCCACACGAAACACCCACTGGCATCGGCAGAGCCAAGCTGCCCTCTATGGCAGGAGGATTCATTTTGCCCTCAGGAAACTCCTATACAGATATCTGAGCTGGTCATACTGGCTTCCTTTAATGTGAAACTCTACCTGGTTGCAAGGAACGAGAGGCTGAAAGATCTGCTGGACTGAAAGAAAAACTAGAAGACGACCAGATGGAAACCAAGCAAGAATAATGTGAGTGACAGTGCTGAAATTGGGTGAGAGGTGCGGAGCAGATACAGAAGAAAGGACAGCCTGAGACTTTGGTCAGGAAAAAAACCTGCAAGTCTAAAGGTAAAAGCTGTACCAGATGTGCAGAAAGGACAGGAAGACTGGAGAAAGCTGGAAAAGCTTTCTACTCGGATGCAAATCCTTTCCCAAACTACAGTTCCTGGTGCGTCATGACTGCAAGATGCCGGTTTAACACTCCACAACAGGACTGACCACTGCCAGCTACTGGCAGAAACACTGGTGTTGTCTCGACTTGGTAAGACCCAGCCACCTCCTGGTCCAGTCCAACAGGACTGGCTCTGCCTAACTGACTAGTCCTTCAACTATAATTAATCTTGGGGGAGGTCCATGCCAAAGGCTAAGCAATGCACCAGCTTCTGATCAAGGAAGGTTTCTTTCTCCACACAACTCTCCTCTGAGGAAAGGATTTCTGCAATATTAGGATGCTTTTATGTTAGATTTAATCCTTCCACATAGGAGGAAGACAAGTGTCACCACTGACACAAAACAGTTTGCCAAATATTCTCCTCCTGCTGGCTGATGAGATCTTTCCTTAGTGAATGTCTACACTCAGCTCCTCTCATGTAGTATTTTTGAGACACCCAGAAAACAGATGAACCTTCTTGAAAGCCCAAGAGACATTCCCAGTTTTCTTGTTGTAACACAAGCCCACCGACATGAACAGATGTCACATCAGCAAACAACACATCTAAGACGGGCACTGTGAACAGGACAGTCAGGAACACCTCATGGAGCACAGATCTCCAGAGACCTCAAGAACAATGTCCAAGCAAAGCAGGACTCGAGTCCACAGTGTGTGCATGGCAATGGCTGGGCTGGAGGCAAGTCATTGCTTGGAAGGCACAGCAAATGAAAGTGGTAGCTCTGTGTTGTTGATTTGTCCCAAAGAGGGGCAGTTCCTCTTACCTGACACAGGGAATGTTGTTTGAAATGGCAAATTTGCTGTAGATCTCCCTCTGTGACAGGAACTGATTGAGGTCTCCGTTTTCCATGTACTCTGTTATCATGCACAGGGGGTCATCACGCACACACACCCCCAGGAGCCGGATGATATTTGGGTTCTTGAGCCGTGACATGATCTTGATCTCCTTCAGGAAATCATTTCTTGTAAAACAGAAAACATAGGTTTGAATCCTGAACTATTCCTTTGTCTAAGGAAAGCAGAAGTGGTGTGTAAGCACATCTCAGGCACTTACTTACACTTCTGCCCACAGCAAGTGTGAAAGCTGGTTCTGTGCTTGTGGTCAACACTGACCCCTTCCACATCAAACAGGATTAATACAGCATTTCAGCTTGACATCACATCTATTCCTATCCCCCGCTCCCTGCTTGAGTCCTGCCCCTTACATGAACACACCCCAGAGACACATGACACTCCCATAGAGGTGTCACCAGGGTTAACCTATGTGACACTGGTGCTCGGGGACTACTTGCTTTCCTTCCCAGATGGCTGGCACTGTGGATGCGCTCACCTGGCTGTTTTGTTGACATCTGATCTCAGCATTTTCACTGCCACAAGAATGGGCTGGTGAGTGAATTCTGTAGAGGAGACTCCCAAGAATTCCAGCAGGCCATCGGCTTCACAGAGGTGCACCTGAGGGGCAGAGGCAGCTGTGAGAGTGTGCACAGGCAGAAAACCAGAGGAAAACAAGCACAGAATGAATCACCTTGACCTCCAAGATCATCCAGTCCAACCATTCCCAGCACTGCCAAGGCCACCACTGCCCCATGGCACTGAGGCCTCGTCTCCATGCTGTGTGAACACTTGCAGGGACGGTGACTGCAGCCCTGCCCTGGGCAGCCTGTTCCAATGCCTGAGCACCCTCTGGGGAAGGAATTGTTCCTCAGCTCCATCTAAACCTGCCCTGGGGCAGCTTGAGGCCGTTTCCTCTTGTCCCATCCCTTGTTCCTTGGGAGCAGAGCCCAGCCCCTCCTGGCTCCATCCTCCTCTCAGGCACTTGTAGGCAGCGATCAGGTCCCCCCTGAGCCTTCTCTTCCCCAGACTGAACCCCCAGGTTCCTCAGCCGTTCCCCATCACACTTGTGCTCCAGGCCCTGCACCAGCTCCATTGCCCTTCTCTGGCCCCCCTCCAGCACCTCAGTGTCTCTCTTGTAGTGAGGGGCCCAGAACTGAACACAGGATTTGAGGTGCAGCCTCACCAGTGCCAATGTCACACTAAGGTCACCAGTCTGGTCACCACTGGTGAATGACCAAGTGAATGATCTAATCAAGGTGACACTGCCCTGATCAGAAATAGCCCATAAGTTGGCCCTAGATCCCGGAGAAAATGTGTACATCCACTCTACAGCCCATTATGTAGGAACACACATGGACTGCAGCCTGATGTGTCCCCAAGGCTCTGAATTGACTTCAGGTGTCCAGATTGTTGCAGCAGAGTACTGAGGCACTCCAGTTCAACCAGGAAGTACTGGAGATGCTCAGGAAGGCCTGGAGGTGTCTGCTTTGCTCTGCATGTGCATCCAAACAGCATGGCTGCAGCACGTTTGGCATGTACAGCACATCACACCAGCCATCCGAGTCCGGAACTGTCCTGAGACCTGGCTTGAGTCACTGCTTAAACTTAACTAAGGAGCATCCAGGAAGTACAGACAGCTATCCCCAAGTCCTCCAATTCGAGGAGGAAAAAGAAAAGGGAAAAAAGTGTGAGCACGTGTATGCAATGTGAACACCTCACCTGGGCACATACCCAGAGATGAACACTCTGAGCACAGAGAATTCCATGTTTCATAGAATGGTTTTGGAAGAGACCCTAAATATCATCTAGCTCCACCCACCCACCCCTCATCTTCAGATAAATAAATGAATAAAAACATAAAATTACTGCCAGGGCTGTATTAGAAGGGCTGACAAGACACTGGTTAAGAAGTAATCAGAATGCATATTCAAATGGAGAACTGGGCAACAGATGCTGGAGGAGAGGACCAGACCAGATGTGTCAGTGTAAGACCTGCAGCAGTGAGGGGAATGAAATGGGAGCTTAATGAATTTGATAGGAAGAAAGCAGCAAGGGCATGTGACAAGCATGGTGAGCAGAGGGAGACAGCACAGAAAACAGGACAATGCACAGAACAGAGACAGAAGTGCAAAGGTGCTGCTGTAGTTGTACGGCGAATGAAATCTGCTGTGGTGGAAGTACAGGCACAAGAGCAGGAGTAGGAACAGTCACAGCACAAAGCGCATGTGTGACAAGCGCAGGTGATGTGTCACTGAGCCAGGGAGTGGATGGTCAGGAGCAAGGAAGTAAAAAACCTGAAAGGGAAGCTCTGCTGGAGAGGTGAAAAAAGCAGTGAGCCATGCTTCTAGAAGCAGGACCACACACTAAGCCAGGAGTGGAGCAGAGCATATTACGATGACCAGTTTGGGAAAGACTGAGGAGGTGAGAAGGAGAGATGGGAGAATGTGATGCAGCACATTTGCCAAAGGGTGGGAAGGAGCCTGTGGTGTGAGGAAAAGAACAGGCTCTGAATCCTGACAGTTACTAGAAGGACAGGAATGAGAGGGCAGGAGAAACCAGAAGCAAAACAATGATTTAAATGAGAAAAGCCTCTGCTTCACTTCTGGAGCACAGCCCAAGGCAGGGCAGGATCCAGGCAACAGCAGAAGGGGCTACACTGACAGCCAGATCAAGAGGCTGAGCATGTCAGCACCTTCCCAACACACAGAGTGATCCAGAAAGGAGTGAGTGGGACAGCGAAGGGGCTGGGGTAGGGAACGTGCACTGTCAGAAGTGAGGGACTATAAAGATAAGAACATCACAGAGGAGGAAGCAGACAGTAAAGGGCTGTGCTTTGTCAAAATGTAGCAGACAGTAGAATTTAGGGCTGCAAGTGAGCAAAAGCTGGGAAGGAAAGAGACAGTGGAAGAGGGAGCAGAAGAGGGGAAGACCTGCTCAGTATGGAACTAGGCTAGTGTGGAGAGAAAGCAGGGGTAAAAGGCAAGGTGACAGCATTAACAGCTTGAAAGGAGCTCTAGGGATAAAGAGAAAGCTTAGCAGATGACAGAGACATGCATCATGCTGCCTGAAGCTTCTGACACAAACTGGGGCTTGACCAATGCTACAGGATATGTGAGGGCATCACAGTGTCTGGGAAATGTCTGTCTTGGGTCAGTGTGCAGAGTCCCACCAGAACCTCCATCTGTTAATGGAAAAGCTGTTTCTACAGCTCCTGGCTGGAGCCATTGCTAGAGTTTTCAAACTGACATGCCTAGAGGTGGGTGACAGCCATCACATGCTTGAGATGCCCCCAGAATACCATGGAACAGTCTGAATTCTCACTGCCAGGCCTTTTCTGTAAGGTATAAGGGATATAATAAGGTATAATAGGGATATTTCAGCAAAGTTCACCAGCTGAGAAGATTCATGTGGCACCAAGCAGCAGCCTCCCAGGCGCAGAATGGGGGCTCTGAAACCTGAGGGACATCAGCTTCCCCCACCAGCAGAGACATACTGCACAAAATACTGGTATGCAGCACAGTCCCCAGGTATGAAGCAGTGCAGACTCTGCTCTGCAGGCACCTCCTTGCTGGAACAGTGGAAGTACTGTACCTCTCCAAACTGCCCTTCTCCCAGCTTCTCCTTGAGCCGCAGCTGCTGCCGTGGGAATTCACCCACGGAGATGTCCTTCTTGGTAAGGGAGTCCACGGTGAGGGCAGGCACAGCATACATGTTGTTGCCAGTTACACCCTGCAGATGGACAATATCTGTCTCGGCATAGTGAGGAACACTGTTCTGAAAGCCTTGGTGAGGAGTGGACTTGGTCAGGTCAGGCTCAGCGTAGTCCCCACTGCACACTGAGGGCAAACCAAAGACAGGTGGAGTCAGACACATACACGCTCCCTTAAAACCCAGCCTCGCCTGGCTTCTGCTCCTCTTGATCCTGCAGAGCTCTGGGAATCCAGCCAAGCTGTGTGCCTACTGCCTGGTACCAGGGTACACCCCAATGGAAGACTCTGCTTGAACTAAGGCTTAAAGCAGAACAAGCCAGTGAACTTGTGTTAAAAAATGACTGCTCTACCCAGTCATGGGAGCTAAAGCTCCTGCCCAGGCACTGAGGCATGAAGGCATGAGTCTGAAGTGAATTCCTGCTTCTGATTCATCCTAAATATGATCTGTTCCCTTTACCTGTTGTCTGCAATGTCAAACTTGCTCTGGATTCCCTTCTGCAACAAAAACAGATCAAGGTTTCCATTTTTCATGTACTTTTAGCATGCTACACTACCTCTTAGAGCTTATTTGCATAAATATCATGAGATAGCTCTTTATAATTAACTCCCTATATAACCAGTATTACACAAACATTTGTTTTGATTCAAATTCACATCCTGACTCAACCCAATCAGTCTCCCTGTGTACCATAATACTGGATCTTAGCAACTTGTCAGTGCTTGAGGAATGCAGCACTGCCCTTCCATTCACTCAGAGTACAAAACATTGCTGGAAATGCTCCCTTCTGTTTGCATCCAAAAGGTCCCCAGGGGCTGCAAGCCAGGGCACCACTAACAACTCTGCTGCATTTCCCTCTGCTTTTCCCAGGGGAATGTCAAAGAGCCCTTGCTGCAGGAAGAGGTGCTAAAGGTCTCCCTCAGCCAGTCTGGACAGCCCAGGAGTGCTGCAGGCAGTGACTTCATTGCCAAAGGGCTGATGAGACAAACAACGTGCCATTGCCAAAACCAGCCCCTAAAAGATGACCTGGCTGTTGTATTCATAGAGTCTTCAAAGAGAACAAGAAGCCAACACCCTCTAGTGGGCCAAAGATACATGCTAAGAAGTTGCAGAGCTCCAGAATATTGTCTTCAGTCCCTGGGTTACTATTATATTGCACAGGAGTCAAGAGAAGGTTACCTAGACACCACAAAGTCTTTAGAGACTGAGAGAAATAACAGAAGAAGAAACATGTAACTTCTGGAGACTGATGATTACATTACCCGAATCCTCTGCACTCTGGGAGAGCTCTGGAAGCTTTTGGAGCAGCGTAGCTGGCTGGTGATATTCCAAATCCAGTGGGAAAGCACGTTCATAGGTGGGATTTGACTGGTGAATCTGGGTCTGGTTGTTGGCAATGGTGTAGCTGTAGAAGGAGAGGCGAACTGTGGCGTCCTCCTCCAGGATTCGACGTGGGGCCTGCAAAAGAGACAGGAGAAAAGCTGAAGTGATGCTCAGTCGTTAAGTAATGTGTTGGCTGCAATCACAGCAACTTCCAGTAACATCTTGGATAGGGGGCTGGATTCCTCCCTGCTGTGAGGATAGAGTTTTAGCTGCTCTATGGAGCAGGGGAAATCCTGTACTTTCCACTTAATTCTAAACTCATCAGGGTTAATGTTTAGTACTGAACTTGTGCCTGCAAAATAGCTCCATTGTATTACCTTTTCCAACCTTTTTTGAACATATTGCTTCCAAAGAATAATGATTATAATCATCAGGAGCAGGAGAATAATAGCCACAAGGCAGCCCACAAGGATGGAGGTGCTGGAGTCATCTGCTTTCTCTCCTATCCAGGTGCTGGTCACAGAAGATGTGGTTTCTGGAATCATAGAGATATGAAGAAGAATCTGGAGTTAACAAAACAGTCCCTGCTGGCTAACTTGCTACATGTCCCCTCCTACACACTGGTACAGGAAGGATCTTAGGCAGCTCCCTGAGCATTAACATCAGCTGTGTTCACATTTTGCTCTTAACAGAATCTCTCATTTTGGAGGCTCAGAGCTAGGAGCTGTGCAGAGGACTTCTGCAGTCAGACTGCTCTTTGGAACAGATTCCTGCAGTAGATCCATATTAGAGCAGACAGCTGTCAGAGTTTCACTGGCTGCACATGTGCCTTCAGCCCACTTGTTCTGAGACAGCCCCAGCCAGCTGAGGGAAGAAGACATAGCTGAGGCTCAGAGGGCTGTAAGATGCAGGCCTGTGCACAAGGGCAATAACCATACCCAGAGCTCCAGAAATGGAGGGAGACAACACATTAACTACACTGCTGCTATGAAACCCCCCAACAAGTGATCCCTTGCCATGGCAAGTGACAGAAGCCCTTACCCCAGGTCCCCTCGGTAACATTGTACTCAGTTTCCAGCAGATCTGTTGTGCTTGTGGCGACTGTAACGAAGCTTGGATTGACACTCTCCATGTCTGTGGAAGGGAAGGAAGGTGTCAGTTCAACCACCAACCTCCCTGCTCCTGCCAGTGGTCAATGCAATCCCAACCATCACCCCTGCCTTCCCCAGCTGGACAGGGCTGAGACCCATGCAGCAGATGCCTGCTCCCTCAGCACTTCCCAGCACGCCTGCAGCACTGAGTTTGCCCTGACCACTGCATCTGCAGGATGCTGCCCTGAGCTTGGCCAGACACAGGGACTGAAGCAAGAGCTTTTCTTCCCATTCTAGCTCCAGCAAGTCCACAGGAGGCCACGGAGGTGCTGCGAGGGCTGGAGCAGCTCTGCTCTGGAGCCAAGCTGAGAGGGTTGGGCTGGGTCAGCCTGGAGAAGAGAAGGCTCCTGAAGGGGAGACCTGAGAGCAGCTCCAGTGCCTAAAGGGGCTGCAGGAAAGCTGGAGAGGGGCTTGGGACAAGGGCCTGTAGGGACAGGCCCAGGGGAATGGCTTTAACCTGCCAGAGGGGAGACTGAGATGAGCTCTTAGGCAGAAGCTCTTCCCTGTGAGGGTGCTGAGGTGCTGGCACAGGGTGCCCAGAGAAGCTGTGGCTGCCCCATCCCTGGCAGTGTTCAAGGCCAGGTTGGACACAGGGGCTTGGAGCAAGGTGCTCTAGTGGAAGGTGTCCCTGCCCGTGGCAGGGGTTGGAGCCGGATGAGCTTTAAGGTCCCTTCCAGCACAACCCAGTCTGATTCTAAAGAATCACCAACCAAGGCTAGACCAAGCATCTGTCTGCCTAGTCCCCCATGACAGAGGGTAGCCAGAAGCTGCTATCAGCAAGCTGCAATCACAGCCTTCCTTCCCCAGGAACATCCTCTCACTATAGCTGATCAAGAACCTTCAAGTATGAAGCTACAGACAGATCATTTCACTGTCAGTGCTGGCAGCTTTCTCTGAGACTCTTGTCCATTCCCTACCAGAGCCTTTTAAAGCAAAGCACCTCAAAGCACTGACTCCCACATCATAATTAAGACTGGAGGAAAAAAGGCGTCAGCCTCTTATTTTGCACAATCTGCTAACTTGGTCATCATATGTAGATATATATAGATAGATAGATAGATATAGACATAAGTTATTCATAACAGAAAACTTGGTAAAGAGAAATACAAATCAACCCCACAACCAGTGGGCAACTGCCTTAAAAAATGCTTTACAGTCCAATTTTTGGTTGTCCTGGTTGTGCTTCCGCACACGTGCACAGAATCAGACTGAAAAGCATCCACTGTAGAGTGGACCTTTATGCCCCTGCACTACCCTTCCAACTCTTTCACAGTGCTTCTACTACCTCCTCCTTCCAACCACCTAGCTCCACGGTGCCTACAGTCAGGTTAACCCCAGACATCCTGCACCTCCACACCATCTCCCTTGCTCTCTGTGCTTCCAGATGTGCTTGACTGAGGGACACTCACCCGACTGGAAGGAGATCTCGCTCATCATCATCCAGGTGTCAGCGAAGTGGAAGCGGCAGAGGATGGCTTTGCCCACGCGATGGCTCAGGGGCACGGTCACAAACCTGGCGCTGGGGTTTTTGTCATCCAAGACAGTTGCCACCCCAACAGGCTCAGGCTCCCAGTCTGCGATCAGGCGTGGTTTGAACAGACACTCCACCTTCTGGAAGATCTTCACCCCCTTGGAAAACATGTTGTTACAATGCACCTAGGAAGGAGAGAACAGATCAGATGGGAGGAAGGTTCCCTGAAACCTAAATCAAGCCTCAGGAATTATCCATTCATGAATATTATCTAGTTCTAACATCTCCCTATATGAATATTGCTAACCCACAACCCAACAAATCCCTAACGAGGGACCTGTTCAGTAGAGCTCCAGCCACTCGTAGCGTGCAATGAGAACATATGTGCAAAATGTTACCCTGAAATAGCTCTGAACTTTACATGCAAAAGCTACGTTAAGAGTCGAATTTTGGCAGCCTCTTCAAAAATCAAACCTGGTGCTAATCTAAAGCCTCACAGAGCAATTCTCCTTGAATATATATCCTTAAAAGGGGAAAGAAAAACCACATCTCTAGCCTCTTCTAGAAAGCCTTCAGCATCTACAGTCTAAGCTACTTACAGACACAAGCACAAGAAGATATTCCCATGCCATAGAGCAGCTCTTGCGCTGTGGTTGCACCTTAAACACAACTGAAGGTCTACATTTTAAGATAACCATCACACAGCCTGCATCCATTAGCCTCTCATGGTGGCTCATCATCAGGTTGTCCCTATTGCAATGGCACCACTGGAATTTAAGCTACCATCGCTATGGTGCCAAGCTAACAGCTGACTAAAACCAAGGCATCCACTCCCACCTGCAAGTTTACAGCTCCACACAGTTCACTTCCATACTAAGCAGCTCACAAACTGCCTTCAGGCTGGCCTCACACCTCCATCCCTGGGAGGTTGGTTTTAGCCTCCCAGGAGCCAGCAGTAGCTTTTTCTCTGCCTGCTCTTGGACTGCACCTAAACCAAGAGGCTCCAGCATAAAAGTGACCTCTCCATTTCCTGAGTTACGGCATTGCAGACGCATCAACACCAAACTCCTGGCACTCTCCCAGGTGCCCAACACTTCCAAGGAAGCAGGCCTGGCAAAGAGGGAGAGGGCTAGTAAGGATCCTTTATGCTGTTTCACTGTCTGTCTTCAATGCAAATCTTGTCCTTCTCAAACAAAGGCAGAATCACAGAGTGGTTTGTGTTAGAAGGGAGCTTAAAGTTCATCCAGTTCCAACCCCCTGCCATGGGCAGGGACACCTTCCACTAGAGCTGCTTGCTCCAAGCCCTGTCCAACTCAACCTTGAACACTGCCAGGTTGAAGAACTTCTTCCAAAGATCTCATCTCCATCTCCTCTCAGGCAGGTTAAAGCCATTCTCCCTTGTCCTGTCCTTGTCCAAAGCTTCTCTCCAGGTTTCTTGTAGCCCCTCTAGGCACTTGGAGCTACCCTAAGGTCTCCTTGGACCCTTCTCTTCTCTAGGCTGAACAAGCCCAGCTCTCTCAGCCTTTAAGTTCTGCCACACAGTCCCAATTTTCTGGACTCCAGTATTTTGGCACTGTGTCCAAGTGACCAGGAAAGGAATGAATAATGTGATCCTTAGTCTTCAGTCCCCCTCAGTCTACTCCATTTCATAGCCATGGTGGCCTGATCCTCACCAGCCACTCTAGGAATGATTTCCTAATGACTGTGGGGTATTAGCAACAGTGACAACAACAGCTTCCATACTCAGTGCAGCTTTGAACCCTATTAATTGCTTGGCCTCTGCGAGGTCCTGCAGTGAATAGCAGTGAACGGTAATGAGGACAACAGGCCTGATGAGCAGGAAAAAGACAAAAGAAGGGTATTTGCATGTAATTAGGAACAGATGAAGCTCAGACAACGTTATTCAATAGGGAGACATAGTCATCCATAACAAGGCAGGAAAGCCTGACGCCTGCAATATAGAATTTGTGCCATATTTGGACAGCAGTTGGATATGTTCATGCCTTGGACTGATACAGAGACACTTTCTATTCCAACCACCACCTACGGAAGTCCAATTTTATAATAGGCAAGCCCAAGTAATTTGCAAAGCAGCTGCAATATTTGCTGACATTTACTTGTAATGCTTTCCTGGGCCCTGGGGAAGTTCAGAGGACTGGGATGAAGCTAACAGGTATGAAGAGACAAAAAAGTCCTTACAGACCATTTAGCCCATACAAAATAAATGCAAATCCAAAACATGCAATGTTCAAGAAATAATCACAATTTAGGCTAATATTACAGCTTTCTAATGGAATACTAGATGTAGTAGCTGTTTTTATGAGCTGGTGTGGTTGGTTGAGGATGGCTGTGTTTACATGATAGACTTTTCTAAGGCGTTTGATTTCCTCATAACATCAGACTCCAGTTACCAGAGTATGAATTCATGAATTATAGTAGCTTGATTAAAAAATGCCAACTAAACCGTACAAGTTTTAAGACACAAATTCTTATCTAGGTGTTTTTCTAACAGGAATTTATTTCTTGCTCAAGATTCAAACTGAAACAGGGGAAGTTCAGGTTGGATCTAAGGCAGAAGCTCTTCCCTGTGAGGGTGCTGAGGTGCTGGCACAGGGTGCCCAGAGAAGCTGTGGCTGCCCCATCCCTGGCAGTGTTCAAGGCCAGGTTGGACACAGGGGCTTGGAGCAAGCTGCTCTAGTGGAAGGTGTCCCTGCCTGTGGCAGGGGTTGGAGCTGGAGGAGCTTTAAGGTCCCTTCCAACATAAACCAGTCTGGGATTCACTACTGAATTCAATGATCAGGGACAGCAGAATCCCCCGTAACAAATTCAACTGGGGGAGTGGGGGGGGGGGGAGGAAAATAAAGGTTCCTAAAATAATCTGAAGTTTTCAGGACTGACTTATTTTAGGGTATTCAACTTGGGAACAAACTGTAAGTGATGCTTTCTACACTGGACTTTTATCCTGGACACCAATAACTTTAAACTGACTTTCAGCACAATACCAAAGCCTCAATGCACACTGGCTCCCTACCCATTGGCTAAGGAGGACTAATATGATCTCAAGGCTCATAAACAGGGAAGAATCGTACAGAAGCAGGAAATTGGTACCATTCCTTTATCTAGTTTGATGGCAAGCCTGCAACCAGTTTCAGTTTCTATACCTCCAAAAGAGTATTGGCAAAGAAAGGAAGGATTGAAAGACGGCTACAAAAGTGACCCTGGATCTCACAGGGAAGGCACTGAGAAGTTCAGCCAGCTTAGCTTACTGAAGCAAAGATTAAGGCAGTGGTTTAATCTCAGTGCAAGAGCAGGGAAGTGTTTGAGAAGGCAGGACTCTTATTTTGGCCAGCAAAAGCAGGCCGAGAGCCAATGGTTGCAAGTTAAAAATAGACAAAATAAAACTAGGGTAAGTAACCACCAAAACAATTTACTTAAGGATGTGGTGGGTTCTCCTTCATTTGAAATCTCTACAAGAAAAGCCACCGATCCTTTTTAAAAGCCTCTGCTGTTTACTACAGCCTCCAAAGTTCAGCTCATTCTTCTCCCGTGTGTTTAAGTCATTTCCCACAGCACAAGCACAGACTTGGACAACCAGAGAAAGTTTTGGTCAAACGGAAACACAACCATGTTCCTTTACCTCAGGGGTCAAGCAGCCCCTAGACAGTAAGTAGCCTACATCCTAAACCCAGCTCAGCTGCCTAAGCACTGCTTCAGGTGTCTGCTTTTTATTCCTTTAAGCCAAATGCAAAAGGAGAGTGTTTGATCCCTGGAGAGGCAAGTGCTTCCCTGCTTCACCTTTCTACACTAGTCAACCTGGGACACCTACTCAAACTCTGCATTCAGGCACCTTGCACCTTCCTGCTTTGGGAAGAGGACCCAAAAGTGACCATCTGGAAGTACCCAAACCCAAAGCCTGTCCCAGGCTGCTTCTGCAGAGGGACCACAGTAACTACCTTCATGGAGGTGAAGTTCCGTGGCCGGTCAAACTGGAACTCCATTTCAACATAGCCCGTGCTGAAGCTCTCGTTCTTCCAGCCCACGTAGTCATAGCCTGGCCACACGCGGTACTGGTGGCTCTGGGTGAAGTCATCCAGGCCCAGCACCCCGTCCGTGAGCTGGCCCAGGCCACCGTACAAGTGCCTGCCAGGAAAGGAGCAGGAGTTAGGCAGGATTCCAGCGAGGAGAGCTCAGATGTGAAAGAACACGGGTCCTTCACCTGGTACTAGGAAAACACAGGTTTATCTACTCTTAATCCATCTTGGATAAACCATCCCCTGCTTTTATGCAACATCTGCTTTATCTTGTTCAGGCTGGGCTGTTAGAGTCTTTCCCTGCTTAGGAAAGGCAGAAATTTTGCCCTGATCTCAAGCACTGACAGCAAAGCCAAGCCATGAGCAAAGTCTCTTGAGAGTGGAAGCAGACTACAGAAAATGATACTGTACACTCTCCAAACAGAGCTTTAATTGCAGCATTTCACCATGGAGCTGCATGGCAGGAACTGCTCCATCCCATCCTGGGGGAACCAGTGGGGAAAGTTTTGCAAGCAGGCTCAGAAAAGCAGGAGAGAGCAGTGAGACCATGGGCAGCTCACCCAGCCACAGCCAGTTCTAACTGGGATCAGCTCTGGAATTGTTCCTTGTGCAAGAGCATGTTATCAACTCAGACCCTCCACCCAGGACTCTGCCTCACTGCTCTTCCTATCTTGAGAGTGCAGAGCTCACTACACAGTTTTTCAGCACCAAGATGCCAGATGTGGTTCCCTCCATCCCTGCCACATCCCCCAGCAGGGAAAGCACAGACACTTCAGCTGCGTTAGTGCTGAACTTGCTCTCTGGACCTGTTTCAGGGTCAGCTGCCTCCAGGCAGTCTGTAACCAGGGCTGCTGCTACCCACACTGCAGCTCTGCAAGCTCGCCCCAGGTGAGCCTGCTGTCAGCAGGATCTGCACAGGTATGCATGCCTTTGAACTTCAAAACAGGATTTACAGCTGGAAGTGGCAACTCCTGCTTCCAGGCTGGTCAGACTTGGAGGCAAAGCAGTTTGGAAGAGTCCTTGCTTAGCACACTGGGGTTTATGTCTACATCTGTAGCTTCCTGCCACTCCCCAGCAGACAGGCTTCCTGGATTAGTGCTGAGCAGCAAAGAGCAGTACCTGTATCTTCCTGCATATAAAAACCTATTTCTTTAAATATCCAATCCCTACTAATACCTAAAGCATCAGATATTAACATGTAAAGACATTGTCACCCAATACCTTGTAACATCCTAGAAGGGCAAGGGATGTACTTTCCACCCTGTTATTTTAATCTCCAGCATGATAGAACACAGTTCAGTTTAGGAAAAAAAATCACCTCTAAGCATAAAAATCTTTAAGGCAACAGTTAAAAAAAATCAGGGAGTTACTGACAACTGAACAGGAGATAAAATAAAAGCACCCCAAGTCAGCGGATGGCACCAGGTCTCTGAACAGACCCTGTGAGATCACTTATTAAGCACATTCCTGCACACACAGGGATCTGCTGCCTCAAGAAGATACCCATGCCCCTGTCTGTCAGGTTTCAAGCCACTGAAGCACACTCAGATCTGTTTTTACAGCAAGGAAAGTGGTTACACTGAATGTCTGAAAGTTCAGCCAGTTACTTAACATTTCAGATACAGACTCTTAATGAACTCTCCTTCCTTGAGGATCAACTACTGGGTAAACAAGAGACACCTCAGAATGTCAATAGATGCCACCCTACCTAATGTCAGTGACATGAAAAATTAACAGACCTTGTAATAAGCTCCCAAAATCCAGGCACTTTTTGATTCCAAATTGGAAAAGCATCATACCCCAGAGATCTTTACAGCGAGTGATCAGCCACCTTCCTCTCACACCACATTGGCAGTGGTGCCTCTGCTGACCTGCAGCTTCTCCCAGGGAGTGATGCAGTTTTCCAAGTTGTTTCAAGTCCATCAGAGCTTTGTTTTCAAACCCAACATCTCCAATCTGTCCAGAAGCTCACAGGTATCAAGTGCAGGCCTAGAGCTCAGGTGCTGCACACTTCCTCGGGTGCCCAGTTTACCCTGCAGACCTCCTGCAATAGTTTAAGATGCAGCCTGCTAGAGAGTGCATTTTGCATATCCAACTGCAAAAGCAACAAAAGTAATGAAGAGGGGAAGGACCTTCATCTGCTCCAGGGACACTGGGACTGAAGTATCAACGACAGCTTAATATTATCCCTGAACCAACAAAGAAATCAGTGCAATGAACATGGTCACAATTAGAAACCAAGAGCAACAAGGGCTTTAAGGCAATTGGACACATCAGGACTGTATCCTCACATCATGTAAAGACGGAAGCTATGAACAAAGACAGCCCTTAGCTGTACAAGGACACACTCTTTAAAGAGAAGCAACAACTTCCAATAACCAAAACCATTCTTTCTTTCTTTCCAGCCTTTGTGATCTGGGGGAAATGAATCTGATGCATCCTGAGCCCAAACCCTCCATTAAAAGAGCAACTAACAACATGCTAAAGGCCTCAAATAACAAAGCCATGATGCTTTGGAGAACTAGCAGGCTAGCTTGCAGCTCTGGAGGTCTCAAAGAAGTGTTTGGGATGCAAGATACTAGTGACAGGGTAAGTAGGAAAGAAGTAACTTGCACAGTGACCGAGAGAGAACAGGACGACTTCTCCCACCTGCGCTCCTGGTAGCCATCATAGGTCGAGTCATTCAGATAAACGATGGGGGAGCCAGGAGCCGCTATTGTCCCTCCTTCAGGGATGCTATAGGATGCCAAACCATCTAAAAAAGAAGGCCATATACCTCAGAAATACAGCAGCAGTAGCCTTCCATCACCTCTGTCCATATGATCCTTTTACTTATGATGTGGACCAACAGAAGCAGTTCCGTGGGCCTGGGATTCCCTCTGCATACATGGGACACGGGTGAGTCCCAGTGAGCATTGTGCAAGGACTACTTTCCAGTGCCAGGCATGGAAATTGGTACTTACCATGCCAGACACAGCCATAGAGCTCCACCCTCATACAGACAGTCATTGGCACCTTTGTCACAGGCATCACCCGGATAAAACGTGCAATGATGGGAGGCCGAAGATCTTTCAAGACCACGTCGTAAGTGTCGACATTCCCTTGGATCACCTGGAGAAGAGAGATCCTTACCAGCAACTGCTCCCCATCATGCTGTTCACCTGTACACTGGTGCACTTGTACCCCATCATCTGAGCCTGAGGAGCTTCCCTGTGCAGTATCTGCAGAGGGTTACCTGCTGCTGCTCCCCTCCTACCTGGTACATGGCTTACAGGGTGATGGGTGCTGCCATTTCACCTCCTGACCACTGCAGAGGAGAAAGGTAGGTAGGAGATGAATGAACACGTAGACTACACATTGCAGAGAGCTCCAGTTACTAGTACATAAGCTTTCTTCAAGTGAGCCTCCATGTACATTCTAACACCAGGAAACCAAGCACTTGCCCTCATCACTAAATACCTGGTGGACAGTCATGATATCCCTTCTCTAAAGCCCAGCAATATTCCAGAGGTGCTGCTCTGCTTGGGAATGAAGGTGCAATCAGCTGCAGAGCGGATGTCTTGTGCTCAGCATGGCTACAGTCAGCTCATCCTGCTGAGGTGCAGTCTGACATGGCAGCAACTTCAACCCTCCCCTTCACCACAGTTCTGGAAACAGTCCACTGTTTGGACAGTCAGTGTGTGGAAAGAGCTAATGCTGTCAAAGCCCCAGCACTGCACTAAAGGGATTTCTTTTAGAGGATTTGGACCTATGGAAACAAAATGAGAACACTTTTGATACCAGAAGTGTGAATTACAAGTGTCAGAGCTCCTGTCCAAAGACACTATTGGTGTGGAGGATGAATCAGAGGCTGAGGTTACTCAAAGACCACAGATAGCAAATGTTGATTTACAAGCAATTTAAAGGATGAAGGCCAGCAAGGGAGCAGAAAGGTGGCTTCCCCTTCAGGGAGCATGGCTGGAGAGTCTGGTGAGAAGTGAAAGACCTTCTTGTATCACAAAAAATTAGTCACTCAGAAGATTGCACTGCCTTGAAGAAGAGGCAGCCGCATCTGGTGGCTGATGGAGGTGCATTGGGCTGCACCAGGTGCAGATGGAGGTGCAAGATCCAAATCTACTTATCTGTATGCATTAGGAAGACCTCTTCCAGTGCTGCAGTTGATGCCAAATCACTGCTATTTCAGTGTGACTCCATGAACCTAACTTGGCATGTCTCTGTTCAAGAAGATCACACAAATGGTTTCAGCCAAACAAGCCAAACCCACCCCTTCCCTGTGCTGCTAGCTTTCAACATGCACCATATGCTGCTCCTCACCAGGAACAGCATCTCCAGCTTTAATTTGCTCAGTAAAGGCAAAAAGACAGTTTGTTGTCCCCTTATCTCTAACACCAGTTAAGGATGGCGCACTGGGCTGCACCAGATAGCAGATAGACCAGGGAGCCACCTACACTGGCTCCTCAAGACCTTCCTGATAGGAGATAAAACCCAAGAGGACACAGCATATGGCAGAATAGCCCACATCTTCATCACAGAAGCTGGACAGAACCTCTGGGGTTGATCATTTGTCAGGGAATCTCTGAGGTAGCAAATGTCCCTACCCATGGCAGGGGGATTGGAACTGGATGAAGTTTAAGATCCCTTCCAACCCAAACCACTCTGATTCTGTATGTCAAGCCAGAAAATTCTAGATGGACACAGGGCTGGACAGAGAAGGAAGAAAGCCTTCCCCCTCAGAAACAAGTACCTTTGCACCAGCTCCACAGTGGATGAGCTGACATGCTTGTCCTGTCCAGACATCTTCTGAGCGAAGCAAAGGAGAACGCACCCTTTGTGTGGCACCTCCACAAGGTGGGGTTGCTGCTACTGAGCACAGGTTTCTCAGAGCCCAAAACCCCAAAGTGAATCAGCTGTGTGTGGAACAACAGTTTCCAACTCAGCACCAGTTTCCAGCCCCAGGCACTACTGATGCCAGTGTTCTCAACATCACAAATGAAGCAGTGCTGCTCTTAAACAACTGATGGCTGGTAACAGAAACTGAGGGACCAGGACTTAACACTGCTGCACCATGCAACATTAGTGCCAATGGAGAGGTCCATCCTTAACTGGTGTCAGAGATAAGGGGACAACAAACTGTCTTTTTGCTTTTACTGAGCAAATTAAAGCTGGAGATGCTGTTCCTGGTGAGGAGCAGCATATGGTGCATGTTGAAAGCTAGCAGCACAGGGAAGGGGTGGGGGGTTTGGCTTGTTTGGCTGAAACCATTTGTGTGACCTTGAACAGAGACATGTCAAGTTAGGTTCATGGAGTCTCACTGAAATAGCAGTGATTTGGCATCAACTGCAGCACTGGAAGAGGTCTTCCTAATGCATACAGATAAGTAGATTTGGATCTTGCACCTCATTCCAAGGTCTGAATTATTTTACAGGACATTTGACCTGAGAGCAGTGCTGCTGAAATATGGATTCCCCGCTGGAATATGCCCCTTACTGGTGACACATTTGGAAAAACATGTCTTACAGAAAGTAATTTTCCAGAGGAGTTGAAATGGCAGGAATTGCACCCATTGTGTATGTCCAGAACAGCAGGAGCAGAGGAGCAGAAGCATCTTCTCTAAGGATACCAAGAGGGAAAGCTTTTTGGTCCCATGCAATGGGGAACAGGTACAAACACACAGAATATATGTGGAATTCCACATACATAGAACAGAATAGAGTACAGCTCAAACTTATAATTCACATCATACACAGCTGAATATGTGTTCATTACCTTATCTTGGCCTAAGAGGGAAATCTTGCAAAAACTGACCCATACTAAATGATAACATCTGACACTAACACAGTCCTGAGTGTCCCAGATCACTGCTCTGCACAGGACCAGAGTGGGAGACAAGGAGCTGCTTGTGGACAGTGTAGCCTATTGAATTCTGGTGTAACTCAACATGCAAACAGACTTTACCAAAGGAAGTGCCAATGAAGAACAGTTAAATGGAGTTTAAACTTCCCCTCCCATCCTGCAAATACACCAAAATGCGAGGGATGGGCAAGACAATGGTAATGGTCAAATGGCTGGTCAAAGGTCTGAGCAAGCAATTCATTAACAAGCTAGAAGATATCCTAATACTGAATATAGACCCCACTGTGACTTGTAAAGCACCCCCGCAGCGCAAGAAAATATCATTCAGTACCTTTCCAATCCTGCTTAGGTCTTCAGACTCAGGTCTGGAGACAGCAGGAGACACCTGTGGTGAGCTGGGAAGCCTCTTTGAGTGTGTGCTCAGCACATTTCCTACCTTCTAAACTCCTTCCTCCTCATTGCTCCTCACATTGAGCTTTGCTATCAAACACACAGAAACTCATCTCCATTCCCTGCCATCCTTTTCCCCTTTTTTAACTACTAAGTAGCAGGCATATGGTTTGCAGCTTCCAATTTAGGAGCCAGTGTCTGGCTGGTAGAGGGGCATTCATGTTTTAATACAGACAGAAAGAGTGAAGAGTCACAGCTTTCACTCACAGCAATGGTTGGGATTTGGGGGATCAGGTCAGGGGAGGAACAGTCCAACACCACAGCAAACACAGGACTAAGGCAGAGGATGCCTTACAGAGAAGAGTCAGGACACAGTATGGTGCACAAGGCAGTCCATAGAGGACGCGACACAATCCAGCTCCTCCACACTCACCTTCACTCCCTGGCGGTCCTTCCAGGAGACCCAGCGCTCGCCGTTGCGGCTGTAGTCGATGCGGTAGGCGCGGGCAAACTCCTTGCCTGTGGCATGGGCATGCCGTCCCTGAGTGCCAACCAAGGTGATGAAAAACAGCTTGTGCAGGTCGATTTGGAGGAACTGGACATCTTCTGGTTGCAGCAAGCCAGCTGGGCACCAGGCTCCATCGCCCTCTTCCCTTTGTAACCTGAGGGGAAAAGCACACACATGAGAAGTGTCACTTCAATTTAGGAAAGGACCTTGAAGCTTAGGGAATTGGGAGAAAGAAACTAAATCAGCAAGAGACACCTGAATCCCAGCCTGGTTTGGGTTGGAAGGGACCTTAAAGCTCATCCAGTCCCAACCCCTGCCATGGCAGAGACACCTTCCACTAGAGCAGCTTGCTCCAAGCCCCTGTGTCCAACCTGCCCTTGAACACTGCCAGGGATGGGGCAGCCACAGCTTCTCTGGGCACCCTGTGCCTGCGCCTCACCATCCTCATTGGAAAGCATTTTCTCCTTAGACCCAACGTAAACCTGCTGTCTTTCAGTTTAAATCACTGCCCCATGTGAAGTTACCTACAAGCTTGGGTTGCAGGACCCTGCATGCTCTCTGCACCTGGGCTGTACTGCAGGCAGCTTGTACCTGGAGCTCTCCCCTCCCTGTTTCCCCAGTGATACTTGCCATGGTGGATGTCTTCTACAGCAAAGTGCTAAACCTTTTGCTATTTCTGCAGGACAACTCAGCAAGGCAGACAAAGAACTTATGACTGTGGCTACAAGTGTTGTGAACAGAAATGCTTACTGTGTGGCTGCACACAGAACACTTTATCAGATGTATTCCAAGCAGTCAGCACTGCCTGACCAGGTCAGGGGGACATTAAGAAAAGCTCTGCCCATCTACAAATTATTCTGGGTCATCTCAACCTATCTTCCACATTTCCAGCAGAGCTGCTTGTGCAGAACACTGCTGGGGGTACAGTGTGAAGGTCTCTGCTTCCAAGTTGAACACTGTGGCACCAGCTCAAAGATTAAAGCTTTTATCCTTAGTGATGGCCACTGCCATCAGCAGAACCCCTGAAGGAGCCGCGCTGCCTTCCCTGGGTGTCTGTAGGCTCCCTGTGCAAGCCACAAGGTGGTGAGAGTTCTAAATGTATCCACATACCATAAGACCCTGTGGGCTTCCTAGCAAAAAGCATTTCCCAGGAAACAGGAAGGCCTTGAAGTGTCCTTGTCTTTTGGACAGTTATCTAATGGATGGGATCAGTGAGTGCCAAGCCCCATGCATCAAGGAATGCAGTACCCAGCAGAGACACTGAAGGTCAAGGCACAGGTTAGATTTTTGTCTCAGCTGTTTGTGCCAGACTTTCTTACAGTGAAGTGGCAAGTAAATGAAGTTGTAAGGAAGGAAGTGAAGACTGTGAAGTGACAGGGACAGACATCTGCATAGGACAACTATGACCTCTAACAAAATGAGGTCAGCTAGAGGATGCCTTCATGTCTTCACCCTGTGGATACCCAGCTGCCCTGGTAAAGAGATGATGATAACAGATGGTGATACCTGAAGTATTTCCAAACTGCAAATAAGTTATCCCTCAGGGAACAAAGTGAGTTTCCTAGCTTTCAGACCCATAGGCGTGTTCAAACTCCACTAAAACAGAGACATTGGGCATCTTTCCTCTACCACAGACTAACTAAAAATATAATCAAGCACTAGGAGAATTTTATGGTTTTTGACTGCCCAAATTCACCATAAAAATGAAAGTATCATAATTAACCTGAAATTAATCTGCATTGAGCTCTGCGGCAGCAGCACAAGAGGGACGTGGAGCTGTTGGAGCGAGGCCAGAGGAGGCCATGGAGATGCTGCGAGGGCTGGAGCAGCTCTGCTCTGGAGCCAGGCTGAGAGAGCTGGGCTGGGTCAGGCTGGAGAAGAGAAGGCTCCTGAAGGGGAGACCTTAGAGCAGCTCCAGTGCCTGAAGGGGCTGCAGGAAACCTGGAGAGGGGCTTGGGACAAGGGCCTGTAGGGACAGGCCAAGGGGAATGGCTTTAACCTGCCAGAGGGGAGACTGAGATGAGCTCTTAGGCAGAAGCTCTTCCCTGGGAGGGTGCTGAGGCGCTGGCACAGGGTGCCCAGAGAAGCTGTGGCTGCCCCATCCCTGGCAGTGTTCAAGGCCAAGTTGGATGGGGCTTGGAGCAAGCTGCTCTAGTGGAAGGTGTCCCTGCCTGTGGCAGGGGTTGGGACTGGATGAGCTTTAAGGTCCCTTCAACCCAAACCAGGCTGGGATTCTGTTTTCCTATCTGACTTGCACCAAAGCTGCAGGAATGTTCGATACCATCATTATAATCAATTCCAAGGTAACTTATTTTTATAAGTATTCTGCAAATCATCAAGGAGTAGCTCTGAGAGAAACACAATGACAACAGAAAAAGAAAAGCCAAGCTTATGACAGCTGTAGTGCTGCTTGATACTGAAAGAAAATCCTTCAATTGCTTTATAACAATTCCTTAACTCTGCAGTTCCAAGGTTTTTGAGTCAAAGTGGACACAGCCCATTTCCTCAATAGGATGCTGTGGAAAAGTTCATCCTTGTAAATGATTTCCTATTATTTACTTTAAAGCTCCCTACACGAATCCCAGGGGCACCGTCCCAAGCTGACCTGTCAGCCACAATCCATTAGAGATTTATTCACAGGATGAGGGTTGGAAGCAACCTCTGGAAACCTCAAGCCCAGTCTCTGGCTCACAGCAGGGCTAACTCAAGGCTATGGTGTGCTACTCAAGGCTTTGTACAGCCAAATCCAGATTCCACCCCTCAATATTGAATCAGGATTTCCTGTATTACAGCTTGAGACCATGACCATTGCCTCCTGGTCTTTCACTATGCTCTAACTAGATTTAAGCAGTGAATGAGCTAAGCAGAGAGGTTTCTTTAAGGGTGAGGGACGTTCTTCCTCAATCACATATTGGATATCTAGAAGGAAAAATGATGACATTTTCGCTGGAGATGAACCCACCTTGCATACTGGGGCCCTGTGGAATCATACCACTGGCTGGAAGCTGTGATGTCTTCATCTCGTATCGTCCCTTCGTGCATACCCAAAGGGTAACGGCATATAGCTGAAAATGGGAACACAAGCCAGGCCAACAGATCAGTACCAATTCCTTCCACATCACCAGACAAGTTTAATTAAAAGGCTATTATGCCTAGAGAATAAACATGGGAATGATAAAATAGAGAATGCAAATAAAAAGGATTAAGTACTTTATAATTACTATAAACTGAAATTATAAGTTGTGAAATGCACTCATAGCATCATTGAGCAGAGTCCTGACAGGGCAAAAGCTTTACAAAGAAACCCTTTAACAGGAAATCCAAAGCCATGTTATGGTACTGGTTGCGTGGACCTACTTTACAATGAAAAGTTATCAATAATGAGGAGACATAAAATGGAATCATTTGTTAAAGAGTTTTCTTCTGGAACAAACTGGTTGCTTGACTTGCATTCAAATAGGAGCAATTATCATCTTCATCAGGCCAGTTACAAGTGAGAAGTTAATCTGCCATTATTATAAATGACTAGAACCTTCGGGAACCATCTGCTCTGTTGTGTCACTGCAGATTGTAGCTTACATTTGAGCACAAGACCTGGCCATGCACACTGCTCCATTCCAGTCTGTTCCCAGCCTCAAGTGGAGCAGGCATCTCTCTCCAGGCACGAGAACACGCTCAGACTTGGTGCCTCTGGGGAGTACACACACAACTGGCTCGAGCCATGGAGCTCTACAAGCTCCATACAGCTCAATACACCAAAGCCAGTGCAGACAGAGCTCACAGATCCACGCTGGCCAAGTTCTCTCCCCTGACACAAGCTTTTAAACATGTCTTGGAATACTAAAGATGCTTTCAGAGAACTCAGGATCTTAATGCATTCATTAAGGCTCAGGATTCAAACCAGGCAAGCAAGATATTTTTGTCAGACTGACATCAACAGCAGATTATAAAGAAAGTTATACAGGATTAAATGATGAAACAATTAAAAGACCAAAACACCATCAAGGGCATGTCCAGGAAAGAAGGAAAGGGACTTCTCAAGGTCCTTGCCTTCATAGCAGCCCAACAGCCCCAGCTCAGCCCCTGTCTGCAGGGACACAAGAAAATGCCACATGTGCTTCAGTTACTCCATGGCACACCTGCTGCTGCATCCTCACTGCCTGCCCCCAGCCAGGGCACTGCTGTGGCCGTGCTCCTCATTTCTCTACCTCAGGACTGCCTCCCTTGTGGCAAACCCGGACCAAGCTGTTCTCCAGGCTCAGCTACTACCAGACAAGACAGAGGCATCAAACTCACCACAGAGAACAAGTCACCACGGGCCAAATAAGTGCCTCACACCTTTCAGTGTAAAACTGTTTGCATTGTCAGGCACAGTCTCAGTGAATGTGTGACATTCTTCATATTCCTAAATCATCTTGTAAAGGAGACAGTGCTGAGGTGACAGTGTTTGCTGATGATACCAGCATATAGTAGAAAAATCAAATTATGGGAATACAGACAAAACAAACTAGTAAACGCCATTACACCACCAGTTATATTCATGGTCAGATGTTGCTCAGATACAGAATAGAGCTCTTACTTCTTTCTTCTCCCATCAAAAGGCAGAGAAGGCAGCACAGATGAGGTAAGGAAAGATCAGCAGGCTCATTGTTACAAAAGAGAAAACTGAAGCATGACAAAGATATTTATATCATAAACAATTACTCACTGTCTCTAAAAATACCAGAGGCAGAAAGCATCAAGAGATCAGGTAGCAGAGTTCAAACCCAACATATGCATCCTTCATCTACTGAGCGCTCTGAATGCCAAAGGTGCACATGGCACAAAAATCACCCAGACACACACTGCCACAAGCCAACACACAAGGGGTAGCTCAAAAAGCTCCTGCCCAGCAGAGTGCAGAAGCCCAGAGCACGCAAGGGGTAGAGTGATGCTGTGTGCCTGCCCATGTGTGCATCCTTCCCAAGCCAGCAGGGATGGGACCCTGCTGGAGTCAGGACACCAGGCTGGATGGGCCTCTGGTCTTACCCAGAACATTCATTCATACATCTGAGATTTCTTAAGAGGCCTGTTTACAGAAGAATTCACTGGGAAGCAACTCGTATCTGGCTGGGATCAGGCATGATGAGTGTGCAGGCTGAAAGCCAGCCGAGAGCTCTAATCCTGCTCTGACACTAAAGGAAGCTTAGTAACCAAACTAGCCTCCACTGTCTTCAGTCTTCCCTGTCCCACCAGTACAACCTGGTTTATTGCTGGGTAGCCAATACAGTTCTAGTTGTTGAACTATGGGTAAACACCTGAAGGTCTTCCAAAAGCGTGGAGTTGTCTGAAAGCAGAAAGGGGCTTGTGTGTTTCTGCAGTGGGAGTCCTGTCTGGTCACATTATTTAAAGGTCAAGTGCACACCATACAGCAACACCAGCTGGAGAGCTGGCTAACTGGGAGGGACTCCAGGGAACTCGGCCTTATAGCAATCCTTAACAAAACTTCTTTGTCCACAGACCCAGGGATGGCAGATGGAAGCCAGAGCGTCCCTGGCATCAAGAAAGGATGCACTCTACAGGTGGCTGTGGCTCTCACCAAAGTAAGCAGCACGAGGCTCTCACCAAGATGCACATCTTCTCATCCAAAACCACTCTTGGGTTCTGTTTAGGTGCCACCAGGACTCCTGCTCAGATATCCCTGACCCTCTACTACGTGCTGAGGGACACACTCACCTGCCATGCAGACAGCATACACTGAGGCTCAGAGAAGTGTCACAGCTCACCTCTGTTAGTGAGGTCAAACAGCTGATGCTAGGCAAAAGGACTCCACAGAATCCTTCCTACATAGGTCTGAAATCACCCACAAAGCAGCCTCTTTGGTGTAGAAGGCAATGCAGAACATGCTTCAGACCACTCCTGGAGCAGAGCAGGAGGTCAAGATAATCCCAGCAGGGCAGCACAGCCAGGGAGCATCATCCAGACCACAGGTGTGCTGGATTTCAGTTGGGAAGAGAACACATGCAGCCCCTGGGGGCAGAGAGGGCTGAACAAGCAGAGCTGCTTGAAGAAACAAGTGAGCAAAGCTACATGCTGCTTCCTTGGTGGAAAAGATGACTGCCAAAGTGTGGGACCACAGCACTGTGCTCAGATCCCATCCACCTCCCAGGATCTGGTGGGGGAAGCTATTCCTGCACCTTTGTGCTGCACCTTCAGTAGTTCCCACCATCAAAAGGAATCTGCATGTGACTTACTCTCTGGCTGCTGGCTTCTTTCTTCTTCCACTACATTTTAACCATCAAAAGGAGAGAGTAACCCCAGTTCAAAGTTGGACTGTGTGGGGTGTACAGTGCAGGGAAGGGCTGTGTAAGGGGGGAGCACAGACCTTGCTGAGCCCCCCACAGGCCTCACTTCACTTCTGGCTGGCTGCAGCACAACCTCAAACCTCTACAAAGATCCACAGGCCAGAGCAGGGTCAGGGCCAGACACAGTTAAAGGCCTCCAAACAAAGACAGCCAGTCCCAGCAGAGCAAAGGAAGGCCTTCAGGGTAGCACTGTTGCCTCACCACACCTTCAGCCAAGCTGGAAAAGGATTACACTCATGTTTTCACAGACTGTCTCCAGCTCAAACCACCTCATTATGGGGATTTTTGCAGTATATTGCAGACCATTACCTTACTCATCTCCATCATGATTCTAACTTGCCAAGTGCTGTAGGGTAAGAGGTTAGGCCTTCCACAGGGACTCATAGGCTCATATCCCTGTCTCCACTCTAGCTTTGTGCCAGGTAGGGTTTTCTACCTTTCCTTCCACACTTCTCTCTCCAGAACCCCTGTTACTGGCTGGGAGTGCTGTGGCTTGTGCTTTGCTAGCTGGCAATTTGCTTTCCACAGCATCTCTGAGCCAGTCTAGAGCCAGGTTTGCTCTGCAGGCCAAACGGTCAGCGATGAAGGGACAACCAGAGCCCAAGCTGCAGAGAACACAGACCCTCTGGGTGGGCAGGGATGGAGTATACCCATGTGCATGAGCCCTCCTGGGGCTGACAGGAGAGGTGTCCCGTTCCAGCACAGCAGTGCAGGGGAGGACACTCAGGCACTACGTTAGTGATTTTATTTACACGCATTCATTACATTCACCATGAGAGGCAAAGAAAGGCTGAGGACGAGCACATGAAAGGTGGGAGACGAGAGTCCTCTCCCAGCCTGGCAGCTCCCTACCAGGGTTGACTTCGGCGCCCGCTGGCTCAGGCAGGGAGGCCAGCAGCAGCATGCAGAAGATCATGGTAGCGATCGGAGGTGCTGCGCAGGGTCAGATGGGTGCGAGTCCTTCAAACACAGCAGCTGCCATCTACATCTCTGAAAGACAAAGCAAAGAGATACGATGAGAGAGTCCTCCACAGACAGGACTCCCCTGTCCTGCAGGCTGGCTCTACTGTCCTTGCCTTGTGATGGGTTGGGCAATCTTCCATGCCTTCAAGAGGGTCTTGACCTCAGCCCTACTCTGAACCATGCCCTCATCAGAGGCTTAGTGAAGAACCAAGGACTGCCCAGCTACGTACACTATCTCTAAAGCTATTCATGGAAACTGGCTTTCAGAAGCTCAGCTCCTACAACTACCATGCAGGCATACTCTCAACTGCTTTTAACCAAGTCCCAGTGTAAGGTAATCTGTCCCCATCAATTCTTCACCCTCCTCATTACATTAACAAGCACTGAAGCTGCATCTACAGTGAACCTGGACAGTCCAACCAGGGCTCATCCACCCAATGCACATCTCTATCAGCACCAGCTCTCTACTCCAAGGAGCCAAGTGGGCACTCTGGAGCTTATCATACAACTGCAAGATAAATGTCTAAAACAGGGTGAAAATACTCTCTCCCTACACGTCCACACTGCTGCCACAAGAGCATGTGCACTCCCACATGCAAGCACACTTCATTTCCTGTTTGGAAACAAGGAAAATAGCAGAGGGCTTAAACTCTGGCAATTCCAGTGGAAAGCCACGATAACACCTAAAGGAACACAAGGTCATCTCAGCAGTATGTGAATGCTTTGTGTCCACATTCACTGCAAAGAGCCTCGGGAGGCTCCCATCCTGGAGGGGAGCTTTACAGAAGGCAGGTTAGAGGCTCTGTCTCCTAGTGAAACGTCAGGCAGAAAACAAAGCAATAAATGAGAAAGTTGCCAGGGCCAGGGGGTGTTTGCTCAAGAATCCTCAGAGTAGCAGTAAAAAGGCAAAACTGAGTATTAGGTTTTGTTAGTAAAGGAAGAGAGGATATGAAAGGGCCCATCGCGATGCCGGTGCATACATGCGTGCAAGAGCATCAGATGCCATTAGCTCAGAGGTTTCTAACAAAAGGCTGTATGTTTTTCCACCCAACAGAATTAAACTGTGCAAGTCGGAGCCCTGAGTTGCCCTGGATACCAAAACAGTCGGATAGATTCACAACAGAAAGGCACAGCACAGCTTCTTAAACCCAATGGTAAAACCTTTGGCTCAGGACCCCCCGCCCCCCCCCAGATTGCTGAGGGGCTAAATCAGGGTGAGAATCACTGAAGCTTGCCCTGCTTTTATTCTCTTTCCTAAGGATACACTACTGGCCATTGTCCCTGATGGATTCCATCACGAGAGATGGCTCTGAGCCTGAAAAACAACTGAGGGCCTTCCTGGGAGAAGCAAAGCCTAAAACAGAGCCTGGCAAAAGGGGAGAGGAGCAGAAACCCATGAAGACACAGGGGTAGCTCGAACCAAAGCACCCTGGGGTTTCCCCCTCTGTAACCTACTCAGGGTTAAGGGAAAGAGTGGCTAGAGAGCATTGAAACAGTGATTGTACATGGCTGGGTGAGGACCAGAAACCACTGTGAAAGGAAACAAGAAACGGGAGCAACCCCGGATAGCATTGGAAGTGTTCAAATGCCCCGGCATTCCATTTGATCCAAAAGCCCAGCACAGAAGGATCTAGAGCTGGGAGGCAGATACCTGCAGCAGAGCACAGGGATGAAGGAGCCCCCATCCCTGCCATCAGTGCACAGCTCATCAGCCCTAAGTGAAAGGTACCAAGCTGAGGCTTAGCATGAGGAGTTTGTCTTTGACAAAAGATTAGCTGGGCTGAGTGTGTCTCATCCTGTCAACATGACAGAAGTCATGACAATGGCCAAAGTCACAGCAATGTAACAACTGCAACCCAAACAGAACCATTACCCCATCTGACCAGGAAGAGACCAAACACCAGAACTTAAGTGCCCAGCTTTAGGCAATGCTTATGCCATGTTCTAAATGACACCCACTGCACTGCCACAGCAACGCATAGCACCCAGGGAAAAATCCTTCCTGTGAGGGTGCTGAGGCGCTGGCACAGGGTGCCCAGAGAAGCTGTGGCTGCCCCATCCCTGGCAGTGTTCAAGGCCAGGTTGGACACAGGGGCTTGGAGCAAGCTGCTCTAGTGGAAGGTGTCCCTGCTGTGGCAGGGGTTGGAACTGGATGAGCTTTAAGGTCCCTTCCAACCCAAACCAGGCTGGGATTCTATGATTTAACCACTTCAACACAGCAATCAACGTAAAACACAACAGGAGGGAAGAAGGAATGGGGTGGAGAGACAAGGAAAGTCACAGAAATGCCCAAGCACCACATCAGCTCCTGCCACTGAGCCAGCAACCAGCACGGGAGGAAAGGGATGGGCACAGTCATCTGTGCCACCCTGCCCTGCTGTGAACCAGGGGTTTCTCAGGACTCGGTGGGTAAATGAAGCTCAGGAGCTCACAAAAATAGTGTGGCTTGAGGGAGCTGCAAGCCAAAACTGGAAGATGGGGCCATAACGGCCAGCCTGGGCTCCAGAAGAGAAAAGGAAAGCTTCAAAGCTGGCTCTAGAGCATCTGTCTGCAACTCTGTGCCTACGAAAGCTGGCTTTGAACTTGACTCCTGCCTAAAGAGCGCCCAAGGTGAGCATCCTCCCTGGACATGTTTGTATCTCCTCATGACAGAGGAACCTTAACAACTGGCCTGGACCAATCATCATTCCCTGGTGACCACAGTTTGGGGAGAAAGCCTCACCTTGGCATGTGGCAGTGACAGACTGCTTCCAGCAGTTCAGCCCTGCGTGGGGACCGTAGCAGCTTGTACTGGGTTTGCTCTTCCCACCACACCTGGCTCCCAGCCCTGGACCACTGTTTGGGAATCCCTGGAGATGCTGCACACTGGGAGCAAACAGGGTCATTTCTCATCTTCTGGAGCTCCACAGCAGCTCCTGTGCTCTTGAACAAGGTCACCAAGAGTGGTTTTCACCCATCTCATCATCCAGAGGAGCTTCAGCTCCACTCAGGAGCTCACACTGCCAGAAATCACTGTTTGAAGACCTTCTGATGCTGATTTCTGCTGAGTCCAAATCTCAGGCAGTAGTACATTGGATTCCCAAACGGCACACTTCCCAGTGGTGGAACACATTGGAATACACTACTAAATACAAGCCTCTGCACAAATGGCTTGGAAATCATCTTCCTGGGTAAATGACTTGACAGTTTCAGTTCTGTGAGCCCCGCACTGTACCCCGGCCTTTCTTCCCCTCTTGCCCACATGTACACACAAAGTGCCACAACCCCAGCACAAGCCCCAGACCAGCAAAACCAGGAATAGCAACATCCTCAGAGAGGCAAGAAAGCGTTAAACTCTGTTCTCAGGCTGAATGGCTCAAGTTGCTAATTGCTAACAGCTGCCTGCAGGAGAATAAACCCCTCTTACAACCATTGTGAGGGTGGAAAAAAACAGCTACACCCTGAAAAACAGAGATGCAAAAAAGGGGCAGTTTTCCCCAATATACCCCCTCTAAAGAGCCAGCCCATCCCAGGAGCAGCAGCTCACTGGGACCCAGTGCTGTCCCCACACATGGAGTCTGAGAGCAGCAGCCCAGTGGGCGCAGGAGGGAGCTATTCTTTAGTGATGTGCATGAAGAAGGTGGGACTTGGAGCTCCTCCAGGCACTGTTCTCCCTCCAGAGATCCATTACGGAGGTCTGGCAAGTTTGCAAGCCTCACTAGATCCCGAGTGAAACAGGCAGCTGTTTTAACTGGTTCCTTTGCAGATCATTACCTCGGAGTGGGACCTCAGGCTCTGCTGCAGGAATCCCATTACAGATGCCCAGCGCCAGGCCAAGGAACTCCATGGTCATGATGAGGACTCGGAGCTGTGTGCATGATGCGCTCTGTATGTGTTACAGGAGGATCTAACCTAATTCAAAGTATCCTCAGAAGAGGTGTAGGAATGGTCAGGAGGATTAAATGGTATCATTCCTAAAGGAATTCAAGGAGGAAACAGCAAAGTTACTCATTGGGGCAGCATCTGAAGCCTGGCATGACTTCCACTTTTCTGGCTCTGAAGCAATAGTAGAACATGTGTCTGCCTCAGAATCAATCTGAGATACCCCAAGCCCAGCCACCTTCCTCTGGAGCACACAAAGCCCTTGTAGCTCCAGTCTGGATCAAACAGAACACGCTGATGAAAATCAGCTTCACAGAAAGGATTCTGGTCACTTCTTACAAGGTTTTGGTGCATGGATGGGACCAGTATCAGAATAGCTGTGTCATATTGTGCAGGAGCCCTGTGAGAAGGCAGCCACAAGTCTTCCCTTAGGTGAACCCTGAGTGTGGCCTCTGTGGCCATGCCCAGACTCCATCAACCAGCGGAGAGGTCTCTGCATGACACATGGGTGGCACCTGGACAAAGCGAGTGCAAGCAGTGACACCAGAAATCAACACACTGGGCAGTAAGAGGGCAGCTGGGGAGGCCCAGCAGGATCCTGGCATGAGGCTCCAACAGGAGGTTGGATATAGGTGCCAATAGGGATGGTCAGAAAGAGCCTTGGCAATGTTAGGAATGTGATGGGTGACATAGGGCAGGCACAATGACACCACAAAGTGATGCCTGGAGCAGCAACATGGCTGGACAGGTAAAAGCAACCAGATTTTAGGTGAGTTGGGTTAATCAAGATGCATGCGAGAAGTCACAGCTATTGGAAAAGTGAGAGGAATAAGCACCTTTGAGGTGGTATTAGGAGACCTGTCACTACAAGAGATACAAAAGAACAACACAAGGGGCTTGGAAAAGGACCATGACAATATAGAGTGGCACTTGGGGTGGAGACAGGGACACCACAGAGCTGGGTCAGAGGCAGTCCCACAGGAGTGGGATGTCCTTGGATTATGAAAGTGCACAAAGCACTTTTGTCCTAAAACCAGACTTAAGGGATAACTGAACAATGCGATTTAATCCATCGAAGTAATCAGGCCAAAAATAGTAACCATTAGAAAGGCAAAGTCAAAGACAAGGAAATGCAAATTCACTTGTACTAACAATGGCTAGTTCTT